AAATAAAATTATGCAAGCTTAAATCGCATTTTTTAATATCGTTCTAAAATCTTTCCCTTTGTGTTACTGCATCTTACTGCGATTCCTAGAACCGATATAAACATTTAAAAAAATTAAATTAATTGTCAGTTGACCTGAGGCGAACTTTCGAGAGCGCCTTCTAAAAAACAAGTAGCAAAAACTTTTTGCTGGATATGTGCTATATTATTTAAGCTACACTTTATATTATATTACATTATGTATAAACATTATTATGCTTATAACTAGTATCATGTCTACTTTTATTATAAAAATGAAAACAATTTAAAAGAAATAAAAAATACAAGCAGCGATCATTGACATTTAGAAAAGGACAGAAGTAACGTACTAATGACGGTGATAACGGTTATTTCTTAAAGGCCTAATTTTACCAGAAACTTTTATTTATAACAAAGGGATATTTTTAGAAAATGATAAACACGTGATCTAACCCTTTGACTGCCGATGACTGATATTTTAATGGTAAACGTTATTGCAGAATAATTTTTTACCCTTAAATGTTACGATGACTGCTTCCGGTTTAAGTGCCGAATGTATTATTTATTGGTGAAGATCGGTAGGAAGTCTACCTACATATATTTCAATAATCATGATTTCTGGTAATGTCTTATATCAAAGTGCGATAAAAGGGTTGAAAAATGTTTAAGCTAAGACCTATTTGAAATACTTCTACGTTATTTATTGTTAAGCCAACTATACGCTACGTTTCTGATTATAAAAAAACTACAGACGAATTGATAACCCCCTTCTTTTTGAAGACGGCTTTAAACTATTATTTGATTAAATCAGCGTTTGATTGAATTACTACATTTTGTCGTAGAGCAACAAGTTTTTACCGGAGCAAAGAACTCTTTACATTTCAGTAATTTATCACAAAAAAAGGAAATTAAGCTAACAGAAAAGTAACAAGTACACTTTGAAATACATAATTGACTTAATATACGACGATGAATTTTATTCAACCGTGAAGTGAAGTCCTTATTGATATTCCGTTGATATTATTTTGCTCTACTTAATGCGAATTTCCACTGTGGAGTGTCACCTGTAAATTGTTATTTCTGTTTTTTACAAAGGAAATAAATGGGGTATTAATATATTTTTGTACATATATTTCAACAGTGGAAAACTACGGCTACACTTATTTCTTTGCTGTAATTTAGTTTTATACAAATATTCGCCGAAATCGAATCTATCTGATAAGTTATAATATTTTATTTCGTATTCACTATTGTGCGAGTTCATAGACCCTTTACATATAGGGGTCAACTGTTAACATTTTAGGTCTACTACAGATATAATTATTATACAGTTTACAGGGAAAATGAATCTATTAAACTTATTGGGAGGCCATACATAGCACCTTATATGTAGAACACAACCGGAGCAGTCGACAAATAGATTTGATTTTTTTTTGTGAATATACTAATATTTCTTTTACCATTCCAACAAAGCTTTAGGCTTGTGCTAAGATATGGTTTACGACAAAAGTCGAATGGCGGGATTCGAACCCTCGACCACGTGATCGGAAATCCGTACCCTTAACCATTAGCTTCTATATCTATATCTACTCAGAAGTTTCGTGGTTCAATTATAATTCTAATTAAATATAGCATTTAATTTCCTGAATACTAAAGTACATTGACATCTAGCAGTTTATCAACAGGAATAGACGCGTTTTGCTAAAAAGTAAATATTATTTGCATCATGATTTAAGTCCATAGTGTATTGTTAAACGTTACTGAACCATTACATAACGCACGGTGTACTAATTAAGCGAATACGACCATTATTGGTAAGGGCAGTACTTTCCCAGTGCCCATGTCTATCCATTATTATTCCTACGACGTCGTTTCAATACGATTTTTGTAGCCATCAAGGTTCCTTACCCATTGGACCATTTGGTATTCCGTTACACCCACAACGTTGCCACACAACAATGCAAAATTTGTTACACCTATATATAAGTGAAGGCTTCATTTTTAACTGCCCGCATTGCAAATTTAATAGCGGTCATGCGAAGGATCGGTAACAACATGCTAGTGACGGTACATAGTAAACCAAATATTTACTTTGCTTAAAATTAGGTTAAAGGATATAAACAATTTTGAATTGTTTGTTACAGGTTATTGTTTTGTCAGCAGTATGTGGACTGGTGCAGAGCTCAGGTGTGAGCTTGGCGGGCCCAGCCCCGCCTGCTCCTGTCGTCACAGCTGCAAGCTCCCAGTACTTCGAAAGGACATTTAATCGTTTAGTAGCAGCGCAGCCGGCTATACAACCAGTGTTTCCAGTCGCGCCACCTCCTCAAGTGATACCAGTCGCTCGAGCTCCACAATTCATACCGGTGGCACCGGCCCATCCAGTTGTACCCGTTGCCCCAGCCCCAGTGATACCAGTGGCTCCGGTGCCAAATGTGTTTCGGGTAGCACCAGTCCCAGGAGTGTTTCCTTTGCAGGTGCCACGGCCAGTGTTTGTCCAACCGGCAACAAAAGATAAACCAGAACCAGTCGCACCAACAAATCCTCCACAGAATGCACCAACTGATCCGAATGTAGCAATAGCAATCGCTACCGCTAATGCAGCGGCACCAGTCGCTACATTCCTGCTCCCGCCTTATCCATTTGGACCACCGCCTTCTTTCGGTTTTATACCATCATCACCAACTTTCGTCCCTGAAGAAGATCGGGAAAATGAAAGCACAACTGAAACCAAATCACAAACTGAGGCAACGACTACTGAGAAAGAGAATGAAACTACAACTCCGGTTCCTACAAATATCGACAATAATTTCGTGCAAGCGTTACCATCAAATAATAATGTGAATTTCAGAGAATATTTGCCCCCACCATTCCAATTACTATTAACACCTGATGCACCGCAAAGACAACCTCAGCTACCTCCTGTATCACGACCAACTCAGCTTCAACCAAGACCGACATATTTACCGGCACTATCAAGACCTCACACGGGTAGACCACAGAAGGTAAAAACGTCAGTCGAAGTCGTGCCAGTACCGCTTACGTATATCGCGCCACCACCTCTTAAGAAACATCACCCTGTAAAGTTGGTGAAAGTAACCAAGCACATCCATACATTTATTCCAGCAGGTAAAATAATTATAAGGCCAATATCTCATAGAGTACATCCTGTTGGGAACGCCGTATACGCTAAGGCTTACGTTACACCCATATCCGGGAAGAAACTGGCATTCTACCGTAAAACCATCTCCAAACGTTCAAAAACAAGAGATATCGAACCGACTACCCTAAGACCTTTATATAAATCCTCCTAGTCTACAATTTATAGTCATATGATGTTACATTTAACCACTTGTTAAACTATCACTTTTTGTAAATAATCGTTATAAGAAATTTTGTATACGATTTGGAGTTTGTAAATAAATATTTATACTTTTGTAATTTGATTTGTTTCCTTAAATATCTTAATCAATTATTTCATCTACCTCATAAAAAAATGTAGAACTTATATACAACATTATATAGAAATTTCATAACTTCGAATATAACAAACACGAACATTTGAAAGTTCTTACATAAATGTAATAAATACAGGATGCTAAACAAGTAAAAAACTGCATGAAAAGAAGATATGACTTTATGAATGCTTTGGTCTTTATTCTTAATTTTTAAAATAAATTATAGGAAGGCATTACTTATGTCGCAGCTGTATTCGGGATAACATAGAAATCTATGATATTGAATAAAATATTAAAAACGAATAATTACCTAAAATATATTATTGAAAGAAGTCCCTTTAGGAAGAAATTACTTCGACTCTCTCAACTTAAAAATTTATCCCACCTCTAAACGGATCAACAGAATGCATTATTTATAAATTAGCAAACACCCTTTAACCGAAGTTATATTAGTATCATCGATGTAACTACACGAGTGATTTTTTAACGAAATTAAATATAGTCGAAACTATTGAAATATTAATTATTAAAATTACACCAAAATTCAGTTATAAACCGTTTATGTTTCAACCCTTTGACAGCTCGTGATTGATATTATGCACGTCAACGTGGTTTTAAAAGAGTATGTTTTACCTTTAAATATGTATATCCAAAACTACTTGCTGTACAAAAACTTGGTTATTAATTACTCAAAAAGTTAAATAAATATTTTTAAGTTAAAATTAAATTAAAGCTCTATCTAAGTCCATTAAGGTTAGGCCTTAGGGCCTTAATTAAGATATGAAAATAAAATAATATTCTTATGCCAGAACAAACACTTAAATTATTAGCAATTACTTAATGAAAATTATTAGATTCCCTGTATTTACAATTTTTTCCGCTTTGATTTTCTTTACATTTTCTAGTAGAATATAAAATATGGAATCAACTTATCGATGGTTTCCTATACCAAAATCACTGTTACACCATAACGTTCTCATCTCTTTATCTTTGACAAAACAGAAATCACAATATTTTTTATAGAAGTATTTTGGTTTCAGAAACCAACGATTAGTTCCTTTAATAATCAGATTTGATGAACTATTATGAGTTATTTGTATAAAAAACAAAACTACAAATCAATTTTCAAATCTCCCATTTGACCATTACCAACAATTTGTATTTCTTTCAAGCGATAAGTCAGAGTAGTTAAAGCCTTATTTCAACACGATGCAAAGGCCTGATTTTGTATTAGATAAGATCGTTTATTATTTGCCCCAGTATAAACGACATATGTAATAACATAAAACTGTTCTGCCCTTTACAAATCATCCAAATAAAGTGTTATCAGTCTTCCCAGCTCCGTTTTCGTAATCGACTTGGTTGCGCGTCCCCATTGCGTGCCCGGCGTCTAGAGTCCGTGCGACATCGGTAGTGATGAAACTACACAAGGTGAATCTCAGTGCTTTGTATAAAAGGTATTGTCCCCAAACATTTAGTATCACTCACATCATTTGTCCAACGCAGATCACCAAACAAACTAACCAACATGTTCAAGGTTCGTACTATAGTTTGTTACTCTTTTTTTAATTGTACCTTTTAACGGTTTTCAATAAGGGCAATATTTTACACAAAAGTCCTCCATCTATTAAAGTGCGTCTCTCAAGATGACATTATCTATCATAAAGATGATCTTCTTGCATAAGACAAGATGTTCAATTTTTTTTTATTTGTTCAGGTACTTTTCCTCGCCACCATCGCCATGGCTGCCGCAAGCCCCAGCGTGGTTCCCGCTGCAGTGGTGGCACCCGCGCCTCTAGTAGCCGCGCCCGCGCCTTTCGTGACCGCCTCCAGTTCACAGTATATCGCACGCAACTACAACGGAGTGGTAGCCGCGCCGCTTGTGGCTGCGCCAGCACCATACGTTGCCCCGGCTGCGCGCTTCGTAGCCCCTGCCGCGCCCCTCGTCTCAGCCGCCGCCCCGTTGTACGCGCGCTACGCTGCTCCCTATGTGGCTGCCCCATACGCAGCTGCCCCTTACGCAGCTGCCCCTTACGCAGCTGCCCCTTACGTAGCATCTCCTTACTTCGCTCCCTCCGCTCCCTTCGTCGCCCTGAAATAAGACTGAATCCTAGATGAAAATTGACGAAAGTTAACTATTACTAGTATCGAATAAATACATTTGTACCTCATAAGAAAATTTCTTTTATTCGCCCTACAAAAAGTAACCAACATGTACTGTTTTATTACCCACTTTTAACCCCATCTTTCTTTTGCGCAAAGAGGTTTTACTCGTGTGTTTTCGACTTAACTCTTCTGGTAAACAGTTTCCGTAACCTTTACGTGTGATTAAATAATTTCCTTTCTCAAAAAGTCTATGCAACAAAAACAGTTTAACAGGAGTGTAAAAACTTAGTAGACAAAATTAAAGATACTTTACAACTGTAGAGTTATTAAAAGATGAAATAACTGGATGAGTTTTAAAATTATATTTGACATAGAGTTCAAAACAATAGACTTAGCCTTAGCGTTCCTATGAATTCGTACATCATAAAATACGTTTTAATCAAACTGAAAATGATCGGAAAAATAATTAAATATATTTTTACCCAGCGTAATGAATGAGATACGTAATGATTCGAAGAAAGAAGAATCACAAAAATCTCATAAAAGTGACAACTATCCCATGTTTAAGTATTGATAGAAGTGGATGTAATGATGTTTTTATGTTATATATTATGGTATGTTATATGTTCTTCCTGTTGGCATGCCAGCTAAGGTAATACTTTCTTGGGGCACTTTACTTCAACACCGCTTATAATTATTTAAGAAATTATTGAAACATTATTTTAAATCACTCATCTCTCTGATTTTATATGTATAAAAAGGCAACTATTATATTAGTTTCTCATTTTACTTTCCTTCAAAAATGCAAGTTGCGTGTAAATGTAATAAGGAAGACAAGTTTTATGTTTAATCTATGGACACATATGAGTAGTGTGATAGAAATGAAACTAAACTATCACATAAGATAAGGTAAATACCTTATGTCCTATACTGAGCGATGTTTTTTAATAAAACAAAAAAATATGAATCGCTTAATGCATGTACCAGTTGTCACTGTTGTCAGTACTTAGTACGTGTATTGGTTGGATTGGATTGGATCTTGTGTCGTTGCCTCATCTAGAACGAAGGATTACAGAAGAAAACGTAGATTATAAACTCGTCGTGAAATAAATATTAGCTCTAAAATGTAATCAACAGACTATCAAGGAATAAATATAAAATACCAGCTTAAAATTTCAAACAACAGCTATATAACGAGACACTCTATGTAATTACCTATAAAATAATATATAACGACCTTAATTTATGTAAATAACCTGTTAGTAAAATTACGGTATGAATGACCGTTCTTTATAATTTGCACAGCAAAAATACTACGCATATGATCAATAACGGTTAAACATTTTTATCGTACAAAATCGAACTAGGATTTTTATGTCTAACAATATTACTTTTTAGCCCATTGCTATTAACAATCATATTTTAATATTCAAGAATATGTCACGTTCCAAAATCTGGTTTTTAAGTTACATTTTACGTTAGTGAAATAAGTAAGTAACTGAGGAAAACAACGCGACGTGAATGTTTAATCTTGTAAGTGCTCCAGATCATGTACTATGTGCGATGTTTGGGACTTTTTTCGATTTTTTGCTAATGCTCAGTGGCACAAACTTTTCGTAAACAGTATTCCGTGCTGTCATTATGTCGACACACAACACAAGGTGAATCTCTTCGTCAACTGCAGTATATAAAACCAGAGAATCGTCTTTCATGCTTATCATTCTTATCTGTTCCACGCAGACTAACATACAATCAAAATGTTCAAGGTATAGTTTTTTTACATTTTTTTTGTGGGGAGTGTAAAGTTAATTACATCTTACACCCTGAACTCTTTTATTGTTGTCCACATGAAACCATTTTCATATAAGGTATCTTTGCCTTAAAGTTAGGGTTAGCCTTTGGTTTTTCACTCATTAATGTTGTAATATTTAATTGTTCAATAATGTGATGATGTTTGTTCAGGTACTTTTCCTCGCTACCATCGCCATGGCTGCCGCCAAGCCCAGTGTAGTCCCCGCTGCAGTGGTGGCTGCTGCGCCGCTCGTGGCCGCTCCCGCCCCTGTGGTGACGGCCTCCAGCTCGCAGTACATCGCGCGCAACTACAATGGCGTGGTGGCCGCACCTCTGGTGGCGGCACCGGCACCCTATATCGCCCCGGCTGCGCGCTTCGTGGCCCCTGCCGCGCCACTCGTCTCTGCAGCCGCCCCGCTGTACGCGCGATACGCTGCCCCATACGTTGCTGCTCCATACGCGGCTGCACCTTATGTGGCCGCACCTGCCCCTATTGTAGCTTATTAATAACGACCAAACCAAATCATATTGTATAATAGAAAAAATAAAATATTTTCGACATTTATAATAGTTACAATTTCATTAACATCCTGGTATCTGTACCTGTCTTGGTATATATATTGCATACACTCATTAGGTCAACTCCGCTCTTAACTCTTAAATAGGGTACTGTATTTTTTACAAACTCACTAAATTTCCCGTTACGAACCAAGTACTAAAATTAAAAAATTAACTGGGTTATTGAAACCATAACCTACACGTATTTTTACAATCTTGTTTCTTTACTGTCAATTTAGAATAACACTGTCAGTTGTAAAAAATTGTAAAGAAGTGTATGGTTTTGTGTTTTAATTAATGATAAACTAAGCGGTTAGATGTTACGATGCAAATCATCGTAACGTGTATGTACGTAAACTAGGAAATAATTTTAATACAATAAAGTTACTTATTATATAGAAACACGTACACTAAGAACTATGTGTCAAGATTGTTTAAAGTTTCAGAATGTTCCTTTAACTTTACAAAGGGAAGTCTTAAGGTTTCGAGCACCTGGACATAAGACGAGTCCTTGACATAAATGGGTTCATAACAAGACTTACATTTTGTTATGTCGGTGATATATATATATATATACATCTAAGGGATCAGAAACTCTTCCTAAATTAATTATTGTAAAATAAAATATTACTTTTAAAACTTATTTACTAAATATAATAAATACGATCAAACTTCTGTAATTCATCTCGATTGACTGAGGAACTTGAAACTTGAGGAAGGACTTAAATTGCGAGTACAACCTAACAGTTGCACCTCGCCAAATTTATAAAAAGTATGTTTAACTAACTGCCAATCTTCCTTATCGGAGGGGAATTTCAATAAGAAGACTAAATGCAATACGTTTATGACACCACACATTAATAACATAAAATTGCATAATTGTTAAAAAAGGAGCGTCGGTGGCTCCGGGGTTAAGCACTTCATTTGTAGTATGCAGGTCTTGGGTTTAGTCCGTCCATATACCAATGTGTTTTTCTTTAACTTTCTTACGGTGAAGGAAATCATCGTGATACAACCAGCATATATCAGCAAAAGAGATTCAAAGATATGTGTTAATTTCTAGAAGAAGAAGGTGGCGACGGGGCACGCCACCCGTCACGTTCCGTCCCCCACAAGGGTGAAAAGTGGATTGCGGGGGTTCGCTTAGCCATGCCAAATGGAAGTCCGTGGTCTCTGTCTATTTATTAGGAAATTAATACATTAAGCTAATACGTGTCATACACGCATCGTTAATTAACTTGATTACTTACTAAGCTATCATTATTCATCACATTCAACTTTAGATGTATTGATTTCCTTTAAGGATAATAAACATAAATTAAACGCTGATCATTTATTGATCCAATTGAATTAGGCTTAATCACCATAGGCGGTACCTTTGATAATACTAAATATAACCGGTTGTATTTAAATTTACTTGTATGACCTTGGAAATCTATAGTAATAAATATTTGTGACTTCGCTCACTGTATTCAAGCTTTTTTATATTACTTAAAGTAGTGGTGAGCAAAAGATTTTCTAACCGTCGCAACATTTGGACTACATTTTATGTGAAACGTCAAATTATCTTTTTTTGACCATATTTATATTTTTAATATAATTTTTAGCCTACTAAGTAGTAGAGTCTAAACATGGCTAATTCAAAAAAAATTTGTTGCCCCGTATTTGACTGAGCTACATCGTAAGTTAATTTATACTTTAAGCACACTAAACGGATTTTTATGCAGAATAGTAATTTGCTTCATTGCATTTACGTTAAGCGTTTTCGTGCAACAGTAGTGACGAAATTGTACAAGGTGAATCTTGCCAATACTCTTTGTATATAAGATACGTATTGTCAACAAACAGTACATACCACTTGCATCTCTCAGACCAAACAAATAAAACTAAACCAAAATGTACAAGGTATTTATCTCATTTATACATATCTGTTATTTATTTTAAAGTTTTTTAATAATATCCATATACATTTATAATGCAGCAGCTTAATTAGAAAAAACTTCGACTTAATATGACCACTAATATTGATTTCCAATCAGAGTAGCTGTAGGTAAATATTGTTAAATCATGTTTTCTTTTCTTTATAGATAATATTACTGGCCACCATCGCCATGGCTGCCGCCAAGCCCAGCGTGGTTCCCGCTGCAGTGGTGGCTCCAGCGCCGCTCGTAGCCGCGTCAGCCCCCGTGGTGATGGCTTCCAGCTCACAGTATATCGCACGCAACTACAACGGCCTGGTGGCTGCGCCGCTGGTGGCTGCACCTGCGCCGTACATTGCTCCGGCAGCTCGTTTTGTAGCCCCTGCCGCGCCTTTGGTCTCAGCAGCTGCTCCGTTGTACGCGCGCTATGCTGCCCCCTATGTTGCTGCTCCATACGCAGCTGCACCTTACGTAGCCGCGCCTGCCCCTATTGTAGCTTACTAAGAATGACCTAACCATTTTGTACATACCAAATATACCAGTTAAAAGAATTATGCTATAATGATCAGTTTTATTAAATTTTCCTTTACCTTAAGTGATGAACGCTACATATTAATTGAATAAACTAAGTAACTGCTTTAGATTCTGTTATGGAATTTCGTTTCAAATGCTAAATAATAAATATGTACGTTAAGAAATTTTCATAAGCCAAAAGTAATAATTTAATTGAGTACCATTATTCCTTTTTTTATTGCAAAAAGAAACTTTGTAATAAATGTTGTAGTAAAATTGTTTTGATATACCATCATGACAATAGAATGTTTACAAAGTGTTTTGATTTATTCGTCACCGATCGTAAACAATTTCACCAGGTCATCAGCGTACGATGACGCTTGAATACAAAAATAGCTTCGCGCCAAATGCTTCATCAAAATTCACTTCAAATATGGCTATTCTTGATACGTTGCGATATTTAGATCGCGGCTCGACCGTGGACTAAATATGTACACGTATAAATCACATTTAGAATGGGGTCGCTGGTTTTTCCTTAATTTATTACCATGTTATGTCATGTAATTAGAATCATACATATCTATCTATTCAGTAAATAAAATTGCAGCATTTGTATGTCAGTCTGTTCGCAATTCCGAATTATTGTCGGCTAATCTTCGAAACGGCTAGACTACCGTCTAATGAACCCCATCAATTGTGAAGTTTTTAGCCGACTTCAAAAAGAAGTAGGTTATTAATTCGTCTCTATTTTTTATGTGTGTTGCACCGAGTTTGATTTTTTTAATCTAAAGGTTTTAATACAAAGATTAATGCGTGATGAAAACATTTACATTAGACTAAAAATGGAGGTTTTCATTAACCCTTATTGTGGCAAGATTTCTGTTTTGAAGAAAAGTTAAAAAATATTTTATATGATCGTATATTTTTATAAAGTTGTATGTATGGTATACTATACAAAATGAACATAAGGGATAATTAAACATAGTGGAGGATATGCCTAGCCTTAGTAGGTCTTTTAAATATGTTAAAAATTTATACATAAAAAATTATATGATAATATTTTAGTATGAGTAAAAGAATCATATGTTCCGAAATACATATTTGAATCTTATACATTTATTTCTTAATTACTGAATCGTCTTGTAAGAATTTACTCTGGTCTTTATTTAACTGTCCGCACATAATCTAATGTAGGAATTTTATAAAAACAAAAGACAAATTGACAGAAGAAATAATTCATTCAGGTTATATAATATAACAATAATTTATGCGTTGTATAAGACACACAACTATTTACTTCCATCCTTAAATGCATAATCGGGCCATAAAAAGTATATTTGCACAGTTCAGTGAGTCTGTTTTAATACCATAAAAAGTACTAATCAGTCAATCAAGTTCTTAAAGACTTGATATTACAACTTGCACTTGATTACTAAACAAACCCTTACCCAGAAACCTCTTTATGTTATATAAACGGTCCGTTGATGGTCAAGTGTGGCTCGTTCGGTAACCGATGTCCGTATTGACTCATAATCGCGCACGCGCAGGTCCCTGCAAAGGAAAGTGAAAACAATGGCTACTGATATAGACGCAATGCTTGCAATACTATGAACTATATATTAGACTTGTGACACATACATACTCACACAACACATTGTACCTCGACTCATCAAGTCGCATTTGATAGGAAACATGTCACTCCTGAGATTAGTAAGTATTCATACGTAAATATTATATGCGCCATAGTATCAACGATCTTTAATCAAATGGTTATTAAAATTTGTTCTCTATCTGTGGTAAAAAAGTACATCTTTTAATATTATTCTGTTTATATCAAACGCCACTATTACTCCTTGTAAGTCTTAGATAAAACAATGTTTCTTATTTTAATTTACAGGTCATTTCCAGCTTCGCCATCATAGCTAGCTGTCAAGCTAGCGGAATTGGTCACCTTGTACCTGCAATAAAATCAATACCGATCGTTCGGTATGCTCCGTTCTACAATTTTCCAAATGGAGTGAGATCGATTCATGCAGTAGCTCCTCCCGCGCCGGCCTTCGCTCCTGCATTACCTGCACCAGCACCGCTGCTGCCAGCTCCGTTAGCAGCACCGCTACCTCCATCTGCCTTACCTGCGCCATTCCTGCCGGCACCAGCTCCGGTGTTGCCAGTACCCGCATTCGCTCCTGCACCAGCGCCAGTATTCGCTCCTGCACCAGCGCCAGTATTCGCTCCTGCACCAGCGCCAGTATTCGCTCCTGCACCAGCGCCAGCATTCGCTCCTGCTCCAGCGCCAGCTTTCGCTCCTGCATACGCCCCGGCTTTCCGTGTTATCGCTCAAGCACCTCCAGTCATCGCTCCCGTGCTTCCAAAAATAGCTCCTGCTGTCTCAGCCCTTCCCCCTGTCCCTGTTGTAGGACCTACCCAGTTCTTTAGAGCTTTACCCTCTCTCCCATCCGTTCCGTTTTCACCTATCGTAAGACCTGTCGCAACAGCGCTCCCGGCGCCTTATTTCACGCCAGCTGTGGCTTCGGCTCCCGTGGCAGTAGCAAGAGCTCCGATAGCACTTCCCTATGCAAGCCACTTTCCCCATTACTCGAAATACTTCAGCCCTGCGCCAGTGTTGTCCGGTCCCATAGTGAAGCAAGTCGCGTGGAAATGATTCAATCTCGAACTCGCCGTGACTCGGGAGTACTGTTATCTAGTCTAATTCAGTAGTTCTTAATAAATTGTTGTTCGTTGTCATAATTTTAATCTTAAGGCTGTTTTGTACGTATTTTACTAATAAATGTTATGATTTATATCTTTGAAAAGGTTTTTAAATTATTCAAAAAGAAAAAAAGGTTAATGGAAAATTCCAAAACGATGGTGAAAATAATTCGGTATTTTTGAAGTGTCATTTTTAAATTAATTGGGAATACGTTGAATGTGAAACATTTTCGGCGTACATCTATGATCTACATAAATCTTATTAAATAAAGTCGTTTTTCGTGCCCTCTATTTGGCTTCAATATTTTGCTCAGCCACGAAATAGATTAAAATAAGGCCTTGACGTGTATACATTTCATTATAACTAATTTTTAGTATACTTTGTTAAAAAGCGTATTTCTGAATGCCTTCAAAACAGCGGTTTTTGGCTTACTTAGGCTAAATCCGTAGAGTTATATAAAATAATCACAAAATATGATACGAAAAGTGAGCGATGGCATATTTCTATCTTTTACGGTTTTCTTACAATAACCACTTTTGCTTTATATAAAGCACAAATATTAGAAGCGCACGTCATTTACGGCGTTATTTTTTTGTTGTTAATATTGGTAGTTATAAAACATATGTGTTCGTTATCAAGAGAATTAAATTAGATTAGAATTGCCTTTTAAGTATAGAATTCTGATAAATAGTTTAGATCTTCTAAGCTGTCACGATCATAAACAATAAACGTATAATCTAAATAGCATCTCGCGGGCTGGGCACGGCCGTGTTTACAAGTTTTTTTATTACTTAACCCCTTTAATATACGAAAAGGGTACTGATATGACAGAAAAGAAATCAGATATATATTCTTTCCCAACCAGCCGAAGCCCGGGTGTCTTGTTAGTTTTATAAAAATTTCTAAATATATCAGCAATTCCTAATTATTTTCATTAAATGTTTTATATTATTGATATGAGAAAAGATAATAAAAGGAACATAGAATGCAATAAATTATAGAAGATCATCTTTCGTATACATACATAGCGACTTTTCAAATTCGATCAACCACTTTATCATATTATTAACCAAAATAAACAACTTTTTAACAATGTATAACTTTAATAGTCAATATAAAATGTTTTATAACATACTTAAAAATATCATAAGTCTTTTTAAGGAAGGCCAGTTGTGTTCGTTTCAATTCTATCGTACAAACGCTGGGGCGACACCGTACGCTGTGCGGACTAGAGGAGCGGCGTAGGGGTAGGGGGCGGCATATGCGGCAGGCACTCCATAGGGGCTGACGGCGGGGACTCCGTAAGGGCTGACTGCAGGGAGAGCGTAAGGTGCAGCAGCGTAAGCGGCGGGGGCGAAAGGCGCCGCAACTGGGGCAGCAAGAGGCGCAGCGACTGGGGCAGCGAGAGGTGCCGCAACTGGGGCAGCGAAGTAAGGACTGACGGCCCTGTTGACGACGCTTATCTGTGAGGCATAGGGTGGGATATTTTGTGGCACCGCAGACGCGTATCCAACATGTGCGGACGCCACCAATGGAGCGGCTAGGGCGGGTGCACTAGCTTCGGCTCCGAGGATGACGGCAGCAGCGATGAGAACGATCTGCGGAAAAAATAAAAAATATAATTCGCAACCTAAAATACAATTATAAATACAATTTTATTTTTGGTAATTAAAGTTTCTTACAGATTTGAAAGCGACCATTTTGCTTGATTTTGGAGGTGTACCTTCCTTAGTGAAACGAAGAGGTGATGTGTGACTGCCAAGAAAAAGTTTCGCTTTTTATACTATTCACATTGTGATTCAAATTACGTTCCGAAATAAGCATTTGACGAATTGCGGGCGGTCAATTGGGATTCTCCGAGGCGCACTCGAAGAAATGGATCACATTGGAAAACTTTTTTTAACTTGCGAAATTCGAATTGATTCCGATGCATGCTTGCATAGATATTTATATAACTTTTTAAACCTACTTTGAACATACATACACACATCATAGAATAAATTTATTTAATACTTAACTGTGACCCAAAAACATAAGCATGCATCATTAATTAGCGGACTGAAAATAATCGTAGGCTTGAGTCCACCGTTCGAATGTAGCCAACCATCTTGTAATAAGCTTAAACCAGTAAAATATAATTGTATGAAATCAAGAAATCGGTTGAAACATGTAAAAATGTTTTAGGATTATCCTGTGAATATTATCTATCAGAAACACAAATAATAAATGTTAGATTCACAAACAAACTTACACGAGCCTTGGCTTTCTCAGTAGGGCAATAATAATATTATTCAGTTACTGTTTAGTTTGTCGTTTATTATTGTAGATATACGTATGTTCTTAGAGACATTTAATTTCGAACGTTATCCATTGCAATATTTATATTATACAAGTAGTAGCGCGCGACTCCGTCCGCACGGAATTAAAAAACAACTTCCACACTATGATCTACATCCATGCCAAATTTCATCGAGATCCGTTCAGCCTTTCTGGAGATACCTTCAAACAAACATCCATCCATCCATCTAAATTTTCGCATTTATAATATTATATATACAGTGGTCGTTATAACAACGTTCGTTTTTAATGAGACAAAGAAGCAGTGCCGAAAAATGTTGAATGCATCTATATGTATTTTCCGCCTTTCCTTCTTAGAAATCTGCAATAATTTATATTCACGAACAAAACAAAAATAAAATGCACAGTTAATTGTTTGAATACTTTGTAGCTAATAAATGAAACTATTTTTAGACACAACAGACAATAAAATAAATGTTAATAAATAAATTATGCCTGCAATTTATAAATGTTAGAGTATTATTGGATATATAGTTTTAATGGAAAATTAATTATGCTAATATAGGGTTGTCAAGTTTAATTTTATTACGAATAGTTGTTACGGATAGTTTTTATTTTTACATAAAAATCGTGTGAATCTCATTTTAATTAGCGTACTTCGGAGATTTAAGCTTTAGCATTGATCATTTTCATCATTTATCAACTAAATTTAGAATCGTTAAAAAGACTACAGATTTAATCTATTCTGTACCTTTTAGGAACTACATAGAGTATGTTCTTGATTACATTTTGTGAAAAAAATGATAAAAATTGTTTATTATTTTTTAATAAAATATTGTTGTTTAACAACAATGAGAAGTAAAAAAATGTAGAATAATGGAAAATATTTATTACTATTATAAATAGATCAGTTAGATAACTCATTAAATACATTAGACACATTACTTGCATTCCTGCACACTCGTGGAGGTTGCTTGCACGCATTTAAATTATCTCGTTCTTTTTTTAAATGTTAAAAAAAAATTGCAAACCGTTTAGAAATAATTGTAAAACGAACTCGAGGATGCATGCAATAGTGTTAAGCCTCTCGGTCAATTTCTGCATAGAATCTTAAAATATTTTCACTACTATACAACAGTTGGCAACGACTATGCTTTAACTAGATTTCTCTTGACAACCCTGACCCGGTTGTTTAAAAAAAGATTAACAAGATTATACGACAAAACATTGTTCTGCGTACCTTTGCTGTCAATTCTGTATGAGGAAGTGTTTTTCCTTTTCGGCGGTTACATAATATTAAGTGAAATTGGTGCGAGTTAGCCTAATTGTAATTCATCGCTCGTCGATTCGGTCTGGGTCAAAAATCGTGGAACTAACAGTAGTGGTGTCCTGCACATTAACAGTCCGGTATATTCAATGATTGTGCGGTTGCCCAACGGAATCACGACTCGGTATATAATGTCACGATATCCTGAAGACGGCACAGTCCATCTGATTCTCTAATCTTTCTCACTTGTGAGCAGTCACAAAAACTCAAGCACAATGATCGCCAAATTCGTTGTGAGTTATCATATTTTTTTTTAATTAATTTCATTTTTTGAATAAAAACTAAAGATCGCCTTTTGGATAAGTGGCGCTAAACTAGTGCAGTTTTGCATACTACGAATCAACTAGATTGATAAAGAAGATGTCTAACAGTTGATCCAGTTTGGTATCACCGAAACGTTGTTATTACGTTACCATTATGTTGACACACACTTTAATATTGGCCTGGCCTATACCTTTAAGACCATGGGAACAATTATTTTGGAAAATCAGTATCTAATTGGATATGTTTTTATTAGGTTGTCCTCGCCCTCGCCGTGGCCGTGAACGCCGGAGTTCTGCCGCTGGCCGCAGCGCCCGCTGCCGTGGTTGCTCCCGCCGCGTACGCAGTGGCGCCTTACGCCAGCTCGTACTCCGCACACGCTGTCAACCATGCCGTAGCTGCCCCAGTTTACGCATCAGCTCCAGTCGTTGCCCCAGCTTCATACGTCGCTGCCCCTGCACCCTACGTTGCGGCCTCACCATACGTCGCCGCCCCATCTCCCTACGCCAGATACCTGTCTGCCCCAGTCTTAGTATAAACGAATTTGGTGACACCATTGCCTAGTGACTTGCTCAAACGATATGAATTACTATTAAATATTTTATAACCTTTACGTTTGTTTAATTTAAACAACATCATTAAACGACATTTTAATTTTTTTTTAAACATTATATATTCCAAAATGTATAAGGTACACACACCGAATTCAAGCATAAAGTTCTTCAATACAATAAGTATGTGAATACCACACAAATATAAGTTTTGTGTGAAAAAAGTTTATCGTTTGAGGCAAAATAGTTCTACAAGTATATAATTTCTGTTAATTTAACATGTGAGTATTTCTATAGCGTAAAGTTTTTCGATAAATAATTTCCGCTCTCTTTCATACATGAAACATCCAAAGATCTTATAAATGGCAAACTTTGTCTACTGGACCCGCAATCGTCAGCCGACCTAAAAAGGTTCAGGGAAGAGGGCATTGCCCTTTGATTTAGAGACAGCAAATAAATCGTCCCCCAGTATTAAGTTACAGGACACGGTAGCCCTTCAATAAAAATAAAGCCTACTACAATTCATTTATTTACAAGCCTAATACGATACAAATGCTAGGATATATTGATGAATCTTTTTTATTTATTTACTTGTACTAATACGCACATGTTATTCGTAATTTAAATGGCAAACGAATGTTTGTTAATTAAACGAACGTTTAAAAGTTAATCTGTAGATTCAAATTTATTTAATTTGATATTTTATTAAATTAGGATAGGCAGGAAGATTTAAATTAATTTATAAATAACTAAGCGACAGACGTATGAACAAATCTTTTCGGAGATGGAACAGGGGACGGAAATTTCTTGAAAATCAGTCTACATTTTTTTTAAACACGAAAGAATATTTTTCCTTCAAACATTGAAAAAGAGAAAAATGTGTTCCAACTGCAATATCATTTATTCTTCATTAAAAGAAAACTATTTAATTATCTAACAATATAAATTGTATAGTCATTAAAATCAGAAACAAGGCTGTGATTACCGCAAATAGCTTGACAGATATCTAGAACACACGATAAGAAAATTATATTTCTTACGTTCAAATACTTGCGAATATAGAAAATATGTAACAGAAAAATACCTTTAAAATAGTGAGAAGATTTGACATCGGTTAAAGTCGATTTATTAGCGTGAAACTAAACAATAATATCGCGATAAGAAATGATAACGAGTCAAGTTGACCACAAAACAGTGTCAAAGTAAACGCCCTGCCCTCCTTTAACCAACTGTCTAATCACAAATCATAGAGAACTAACGAGACAGAGACATTTTCTATAACATTTATTTATTTAAGGCATCGTTTTTTTCATATTCAAAGCAAACCTAACCACGTTAATAATTAACATTGATTTTTAAACCAAAATTAAAACAGATATGATGATTGTCATTATAATACACTTATTTCCTGTTTAATACTAGCACAAGTGACATCAAAATTAATAAGTTGTTAAGCATATTAACTCTATATGTATGTTTAAAACACAAGTTAGTAGACTAAATAAATACGTGACATGATAAACTAAATAACTCTCTGCAGACAAATTACTCTTTACTGTGCAGAATAAGTTACGTGTGTCGAACACTACAAGCGAACAATTTTCATGTAAGGATAAATAAATTTAAGCTGACTTACACATAGCACAAATGAGATTTTAGATTATTAAATGGTTTTGATACTTTACGTTTAATTTCATATCAAAAGATTAATCTGATTATACTAAAAAGAGATGAATGATTTGGTTGAAAGATGATATGATTAAAAAGGGACTACTGAAATAATGGAAGTTTGATCGTTCAAGATCGATATGTAAAAGGATATCTTGGTGTGAACGAAAAAACCATGTGAGTAGGATAAGTATGCGAAGATGATGACCTAGAGATTAATCTAAAGTTACATTCTCATGCCGGATGTGAGATAGTTTTAACAACAGAGATGTTACGATATAATTTATCTGTCATCTTTATGCACATCGAACAATTATCACATTTTCATTATCACGGTCAGTTTAATATGTCAGCACATATAATTAACTTCTTACAAGTGATCCGGTCTCAGATATAATCCATAATGCTTGATATGATCAGTGTGTTATTAAATCTTATTGCAACAGCCTTGTTGGTAATTTTATTAACATTTCATGCACAAAAGACAACGAGAAGAGAACGTGTACTTTTTAACATTTAGTATAATCATCTTAAATATCATGTGTCATCGATATCTACGTATAACTTTTAGAAATTTTGATTATTCCGAAAGTAAGAGTTTTCCTTTGAAATTATTATTTCATATTTAAATGTCAAATATCAAGATACATAGACAGTTGTATATCTAAGATAACGAACGCACGAAACGCATTAAAAATAAGATCAACCACAGAACCATGTGTAATGTACTGACTGACAAAAAATATTAAAAAAAATATACATTTTAGGTTTTTGGTCATGTTACTCTATTTTATTTACAAAAATCTTTCCCCAGTTGCAAATTGCTTGATAGTTAAATCCAAACTATTAAACATTCTTGAATCTATAGACTCATGTCAATAAACGTTCCATAAAAATGCAATCAAAATTATTAACTTTGTCTCTTTCACTTGTTTGAATGATTCAAGTTATGAGAAAGATTAAGACGAAGTGATACAAATATTTTCATTTTGTTTTATGTTGTTTACAGCATACTGTTTTAATACAAGTAACGAGGAAGGTTAACTGCCAATCAGAATGATAGTCGTTAATTAATAAAAATGTGGCAATGACGCAACTGACGAATGATATTACTAGTATAAACAATAGATTGTGATAATAAAAGCTAAAGCATGTTGCAATGGCCAACTAATGCGAAGGTTTTGAAAGCGGTACGACTACTTATGAAATCCCTTGAATTTGTACGTTCTTGTTCCCTGCAACAATATCACAATTATAAACGGTTTTATTACAGGCAATAAGGAAGTATATATGCGTATATTATTTTTTTAATTTTTAAATTCATAGACTATATGTGGAAGTTATTGTTTTCACAATATCTATTGTTAATTTAAAATTTTTCAATTTAAGAATATTTAAATCCCTTAAATGAGATTAGATTGAAACAAACACGTATGTACATATATTCATTGCTTTATCCAGCGTCTGTATACGTTTTTCATTTCTAGAATATCGCGATATAGTCGCGTTTTCTCAAGTCCTAGAGCATCGTAAATTCAACTAAAAGGTTATAGTAAAAGGGCAGTAGCATTTTCCTTTGTACTTATAAAATTAACTACCGAGACCGACACGCGCTGAACATGTGCGATAACAATCAGTTAAATTTCCATCCCGCAGTTCTTCCATCATTAGAAAAGCTTTAATACAAAAGTAACTTAACATTTAATTTTATATATAGAAGGGCTTATTATAAAGAAATTCATACGGGTGACGGCGTTAAACTCTAACAGCTGGTTAGCGACAATTTTATGAGATACCACAAACATAAATTTAAATGATGGAAATTTATATATTTTTAGCCTTCTCAAATAATTTTGGGTTACAATTATTTCTGAAACATGAATAAATTAATTTCGAGTATGAGTACGCAGATGTATACGTTACATAATAATAACCATTCTAACGACTTATTTTGCTGTCGCTACTAACATAAGGGCCGTTATAGATGACCTAGGCCCTTAGTAGGGGTAGGGTTAGACCGATTTAGTGAAACCATGTGACTAAGCACTATAAAAGCTCGGCTCGCCTGAACCTTAGCACATTCGCTCCCACATCTCCTTTCTTCACTTCACAAAACAACCCCCCAACAACCCTCAAAAATGTACAAGCTGGTAAGATTTTTTATTATATTGACAGAAGTAAAAATTTCGTCATTTCACAAATAAATAATTATAGTGACTGTACTAGTTGAAATGGCATTACTCATTTTTTATACTAAATAATATTAAGAATGATCGTGTTTTTGATAAAATAATATTTAACTCAGAAAAATAGCGTCAATTCAAATGATTTAAATTTATTTCTAACCAACTTAAAATATAAAACAGTTCCCACAAACCCTAAATAGAATTACGTGAAATTGGTAACCGCAACTTTTTTTTAATAATAGCAGATTTTCTTTTTTGTAAATTTACTAATATTTCTTTTACCATTCCAACTAAGTTCAAGGCTTGTGCTAGGATATGGTTTACGACAACAGTCGAATGGCAGGATTCGAACCCCCGACATTGTGATCGGAAATCCGTACCCTTAACCTTTAGGCTATTGACGCTTTAATTAAATGATATGTTACATCGTAAATACAATTTTTAATTATAATTACTATATCTTTATAGCATTATGTCACCAAAGCTATACACATTTTTTGTAACGATTTAAGATTCGATTACATGCGATTTTTTTTACATATATAAATAGACTAAACATCAATAATAGATCAACGTTTTATTCGATCTTTTTCTTATACGTTTCCATAATAATCTGGCAAAAAGTAAATGGTAACGACCCAACAAGGTCAGATGTTGCTATCCGGTAGTCAATCACTTTTTACCCAAAGTCGGACAAAAGAAAATTGTCTCTCCTTAACAACATCACAAACATGTATAAATTGAGTTAATCTGTCTATTCACATTAAAAATAACAAAACCGGCAAAAACTCAGGAGCTATGAACTAACGTCTTCTATTGGTTGCATTTTAAAACAAAGATTTTCAAAGTTTTAAAGTAAGCTAGTTTTTTAATTTATTAATTCTAAATTGTACACACAATACTTCAATATATTAGAATACAGTGCAAACAATCGAAAAACTTATTTAGCGATGTAAAAAAATGAGAATCGAACTCGAAAAATAGTGAATAATTTGAAGAATATTTTTGGACGTTAGAAGTTACTTAGTTAAATATGAAAACTAAATATTGAGAAAAAAATTCTAACATGATATAATTTAAAAAATAAAACGACTGAAAATGATGAAATAAATATTTAACAGTACTCGAACTCTTATAAAATGGGACATAAATCATTATCCGACAATCTTAATAACAAGTTTACGGCGTATTCTATTAAATTTATTCAGGTCTTTACTTGGAATCTAGCTTTGTATCTTAAGTCGGGTGTTTCTGCCTTCTAATTAAATATTATTTCACAAAGGCATGGCCTATTTTATACTAGATCTTTGCTTTGACATAAACATCGTTTAGACAAAACTTTGTAAATTTCTCGATTAAGTACAGATTTTTTAAAATAATTACTTATTAAATTATTTGTGACACATTGTTACTGTACAAATGTAGTTTAATGATCATTTTAATTTTATTTTGTTTTTTTTAAAACGAAATACTATAGATTTTAATGAATGTGTGTCTGTGTAAACCTACGGTTATTAGCAATGACATTTTAAATTAATATAAAATATCTATTATAATCTGCAATAAATAATAATCAAGCGCTTTAAACTGGCAAGCTCGCCTAGTTAAGCTAACAACGATAAAAAATAATACAAAGGATAGAATGACTTATTCCTCGGTAATAAGTGCTAGAATTGTTTGTTAAGATATCAGATCCCACGTGACCGGTTTTATTGTTAGTCCAGTTATAGAAAGGATTTGATATATGTACGTCTAGATCAGTTAAATCCCACGCGAAAAATACTTAACGTCCTTAAAGGACAAGCGATTGATAGTTTAAATTCATTTAACCGTAAAACAACCTTTTACCGCAGTAATAAAACTTAAATGCCTCAGCACTTATTGGCGTTGCTTTTATGAAGGTATTTTATAATGTTTGCGTATTTTTTTGTTTATTCTGATTTAAGAGGAAACACACCTCAGTCACTTAACCTATATAATCCAGTTCAACACTTTTTATTGACTACGAGTATTGTCAATGCAATGTCGACATGACTATATTTTACTAGATTTTTATTTCTTTTTATCGATTACCATTCTCTTTGTCATTTACGGACAAATATAATGTTTATATATAGGATTAATAAGTAAAAAATATAAATATTTACACTATATTATATTCACTCTGTCTTTTCGAGATAAACATATTTAAAAGGAAGAAAAAAATCAAGTACAAATTGCATTTTGTGTATATGTCTGCTATGCCTTATGGGCACTTCTATATATGGACAGGCTATTAGCGGTGGTATATTGTGCCTATTTGATTTTCGCAATTTAAGCAGTGATGGTATACACCTAGTTATATTATACTTTGCAGTTCGTATTCGCCGCTGTCTTGGCTGTTGCTGCCGCCGCCCCCGGGCTATACGGAGGTGCCATCGCCGCGGCCCCCCTCACCTCGGCGTGGGGCCATGGTGCCGTCGTCGGTGCCCCCCTGATTAGCACCGGAGTGGTTAAGGCCGCTGTCCCAGTTGCCACTTCTTATGCTAACACTGTCAGGGTAAGTAACAGCGGCATTTAGAATAACCTAGTACATAGTTTACAATGTAATAGATATTTTTCCATAACTTATAACAAGAGCTTTAAAAATAAACTGTGTTCTTACTAGGCTAGAAATATTGTCATCTTATTTAATTTAAAAAATAAAAACATATGTTTTTTATAGATCGCCACCCCTGCCGCTGCCGTGGTTGCTGCGCATGCACCGATCGTCGCTGCTCATGGTCCCCTCCTCGCTGCCCCAGCTCTTGCCCACGGATGGTAATTTACCAGCCCCCTTCCCGCTCGGACCTTAACATCTGGATCGAGCAATGCAACAGTCAACGTCTCTAAATCTTATTTAATTCTTTAGTATTAAGAACTTTTGGAATGGCAGATTGGAGCGAAAAAAGCTCGCATCTGGGTCGGAAAACTGTTTGGAATGATAATAAAAAAGCAATAAATGATGATGTGTTTGTTTTCTAATCGAACCGATGTTTAATATAAATACGACGTTTAAAAGCGATTAAAAAGTGAATCCAATTTTACATCATTGTCCTTAATTTATTATATGGTAGTTACCATTGTTTGTAAATTTCCGAAAATAATATGGTAGATTAAAGACAGAGTTATTTAAGTTATTCCAAGTCCTTGCAACTCATAAAAACATATATTTTCTTATATCTTACGGCATACAACACTCATATCTTCCATTTACATTTAAAAACGTTAGAGTTATTGATTAGTTAACATGGCACGTAATAATTTACTATGCAATAAAATTCATGACAACTTTCATTTCGATTAACAATGAACATTAAAAAACAAACCTAGCATATTATAATATGCATCAACTTACGCTGTACATACTAAATGTTTTATATAATCAAATTATTTAAAAAAATAACTCTGGAAAATTATGTAGATATATTATTTAAACTATGGGGTTTCGATAACACAAAGATGTTATTCTTTTTAGTTATAATCGACATCCGTAATTTTTTTGCTACCGATATAAAAAAAGTTCACTTCCAATAAATCTGATATGCAAATTTTAAAATCGCAGTATTAAATATTTACTCTATAATAAAACAACCTATTTGCATAAAAACCTGTTTAAAGGTGCTCTGTGGGACAGGAACCGAACAATAATAAGCCTTAAGCCGACTTTTATCATCAAGTACCAATTTCGATTAACACGACAAAAAACTACAGCAAAAAGTGATTCCTATAATAAATAACATAATTACACAACGCGAGTTTTAAGATTCCATAAAAAAGAAACAATTGGTATTGAAATATAATTTACTGTGACGAATTTAAGTTGCACATCTCGATTTTAAGGACTGATTGTCAACTAAGTCAATTTATAAAATTATTAGGTATATTGTAAACTAAATCATTCGTCCATTTATAAATCTTACTATTATTATACGATTAAATGCGAATGTTTAGATCATAGGATGGACGGATGGAGAGATAGATATTTGTTTCAACGTATCTGCGGGAAATTTTGTATGCATATAGAACATAGAAGAGCACATAGGTTACTAATCAGTTTTTTTATTAATTCTGCGCAGACGGAGTAGCGGGCGACAGCTAGAGCTTTATAAATAAAAAGATTTTCAATCATTCGTCCAGGTTAGAACTTCCTAGTAAGATACCGGAAGGGTACTATAGTAAGATTATAAACTGCTGAATTATATTACGTATACAATATACCTAGTTAGATTAAAAACTGACTAGTTGACAATATCAGTGACATACTACTGGATGTAGTCCTTGGCAATTCATAGCGGAATTAACCACTGTCTCTTATTATCTGCAGTCAATAAGGCGGTAAACAAACTAGTATTGTGCTCGTATATCATACGCCGTAAAAGGATAAACTGATTCCGCATACCTCTCACTATGTCGCTGTATCATAATGTCACTGTTACATATATGTAGCGAACACTTCGTGAAATATTATACTGTAATGATTTTTTTAAAGCCCTATCTTTATATGTCTCGTACAATATTTAAAAACTATAGTTACATATATTTTATTTTGCGAATCAAAGACTGTGTAAAATTGTATTAATATCAGAAAATTTCTAAGGAAATTGAGAAGGTTTAAAACATATTTTTTTTTGTTGTCTAGATTCACCAGTTGAGGCTAATGATGTATTAAACATGAAAATCTAAAGTAAAAAAATACATGTTACCAAAAATTTTGCTTTAATGTTTGTCAAATTGTTTGCTTGTTTGTTTATACTGTATGCTAATAAATTCGGAGGTTATTTTGTTATTAGATTCTATGTTCTCCATTATTAATTGTTGTATCATCTCTATGTAGGTGTCAAAACACGCTTATGTCCAGCGAAACAAGAAAGCGTACTCAAGGCCGATCCATATAAACTTTAACATTTCGCTTATAGAGCACAATAACTCTGCAAAAAATCATACGTTATTAACGACACTTGAGCACTTACTCCGCCAACTGAAGTGGTCCGACTTTTAACATTTTATTCTAGCGTATTAAATGAATAAATTACAACGAAGGTTTTGAAAATAAATACTGCGGCAATAATAAATATGATGTTATGTGAATACAATTACAATCTTCGATTTATTTATTTTATTGACGGGAACATTTTAATTCAATCTTAATAATATTAACCGTGGGTTTCTGCCATCAAACATATTGTCAACCCTATACCTTTGCCAACATAGAGATAAACTGTTTTAAATGGAGAATTTGGTCTCTGAAACCCACGGTATGTGTGTTTATTTCTTCACTCAAAAACTAGATCCCTTTTTAAAAATTCTTTCTACGTCTTAGAGTTTTATCTATTTCTGACCTAGTCTACTTACACGTTTATGGCTCTCAGTTGTAAATATAAGGGATTAATTGTTTTATATACATACTTACTTACCTCTTTTTAATGCCTGAGTTCATTTTAAACACTGCGTTCTAACAAAGTGAACATATTGGTAGTGTCAGAAAGGGTACAGCGGTGACTTTTGTTATGATACATATTATATATATTATAGTCTCAGTTTTGCCAGAGAGAACGAAAAGGACGATAGTATGTAGAAATATGCTAATGCAAACTCACCTTGAGTATTTAATAATGAATCTTTATCGTGAATTATTATAATTGCCTATCAATCGGTTAATTGAACACAACCTTGTTAATTATCTTTTTTTTTAATTTACTGTTTAAATACATAAAAATTAATATTTGTATGTTGTCTTCAATGCAGTTCACATTGCGATTCCACTTTGATAAGCTGTTTGTCAATCAAAAAATATGTATCAACAATTGAACGAATGCTGCTTCCTTAATTATCCTTGTAATTTATAGTCTTTTAAAACTTTTCTTTCTACATAATAAAATAATAGACGCAATAAAACATAATCTAACACAAACATCATCTAATGTTGAGTTGTCACAGTATCAAAAAAAAAGTTGCCAACCCCGTCTTTCTCTTCGTAAAAAAAGAGATGACAGTAGTCCTTATACTCGTACTTTACAGTTAAATTAATGGTAAAACAGATGCATTTTAATGTTTACAATGTAACGTAGTGCTTGTTACTAACATTGCTACTGCAGATGTCTGTTGCGTGAAGTGTGACTCAAAATCACTATTCTGAGAATTATTATGAGAACTTATTATCTTATATTACTACTTACACCCAATACTGTTTTAAAAATCGGTAGTCGACTTCAATTGTTTTTTAATCCTATATTAACTTTTATTTAAAAAACAACTTTTTTTTAACAGAACTGTACGGAAACGCTGCTCTAAGCGAAACAACATGCCGTGATTGGTTCCATCGCTTCAAAGACGGTGATTTTGATATTGACGACCGTCCACGTGAAGGAAGACCCAAAACCTTCGAAGATTTTCTACTATTTTTTTTAAACTGTTCGTATACAGGACGTAGCGTAAGGCATAAATAAAAACGATTGTATTGCATTGTAAAGTCTTATTATATAACTCAAAAAAGACATTTAATTTAAATGCCGTGTTCTTCAATCAGGGTAATAAATATAACAAGAGTCCAAATTGAATTTTTATATTTAGACAGGATGTTTTAAATGCAAAATGATACAACAAATATTATATTTTATGTTTTTTTAGTTTATTTCTGTACAAATAATTTCAGTCGTTCGATGTATCTGAACCGAGAATCAACGATCCCCATTTCCACGATGAAGCTCACCACGGGTGTACGCCGTATACTCCGGTTTGGATCGGCGCGGCGTAGGCGAATGGTGCTGCAGCATATGTTGAGAGAACCGGAGCAGCGGAGTAGGTACTGACGACGGCAGGCGATGACTTAATTTCAACACGAGATTGGTGCGATGATGATTCAGTTGCTAATCCTGCTCCCAGCAAAGTGGCCACCAAACCAGCTGATCGTTTATGAATGAAGTGACCTTCTGCGAGAGCTTTTGCTTGCAAATGTGCAGCGCGGGCAGCGGCCACTTCAGGTGTTTCTACAACACCTTGCGCACAGCCTTCAGCAGCATACGCGGTTGTTGCGATTGGGGCTCTGTAAGCAACAGTGGCTATGGGAGCAGAGTACGCTACGGGAGCAGCACCAACTGTACTGATAACAGCAGGAGAAGATTTTACATCAACACGAGATTGGTAAGTTGATGCGGCAACAGGGGTTGAAACAGGCGCTACAACAGCCGCAGGAGCAGCATAAGCAGCACGAACTGGGGCCACAATGGGACCAGAAGAGTAAGTGCTGACTACAGCTGGAGACGATTTAATGTCAAAACGAGATTGATAAGACGAAGCGGACGGAGCTGCGATAGCCGCAGGGGCGGCGAAAGCTGCTTGGGCAACTACGGGAGCTGCTGAGTAAGTGCTGACTACGGCGGGAGAGGACTTAATGTCCAATCTTGATTGATACGATGTTGCGGCAGGCGCTGCAATTGCGGCAGGAGCGGCAAAAGCCGCGGGAGCGGCAGAGTAAGTGCTAACTACGGCAGGAGATGACTTAATGTCCAAACGAGTTTGGTAAGATGTTGCGGCAGGTGCTGCAATAGCGGCAGGGGCAGAAATAGCTGCGGGTGCAACTACGGGAGCTGCTGAGTAAGTGTTGACTACGGCGGGAGATGATTTAATGTCTAAACGAGATTGATATGAGGTCGCGGCAGGAGCAGCGATAGCAGCGGGAGCAGCAAAGGCCGCTTGAGCAACAACGGGAGCTGCTGAGTAAGTGCTAACTACGGCAGGAGATGACTTAATGTCCAAACGAGTTTGGTAAGATGTTGCGGCAGGAGCTGCAATAGCGGCAGGGGCAGAAATAGCTGCGGGTGCAACTACGGGAGCTGCTGAGTAAGTGTTGACTACCGTGGGTGATGATTTAATGTCTAAACGAGATTGATATGAGGTCGCAGCAGGAGCGGCGATAGCAGCGGGAGCAGCAAAAGCAGCTTGAGCAGCAAAGGCCGCTGGAGCAGCGATAGCCGCAGATGAAACTACTGGGGCAGCAGAGTAAGTATTGACTACAGCGGGAGAGGACTTGATGTCCACTCGAGACTGGTATGATGAAGCAGCAGGGCCTGCAACGACTGGTGTAGCAAAAGCAGCGGGAGCAGCAGCATAGGTGCTCACTACAGCCGGCGAAGACTTCACGTAGTCCACACGGGAGTGCTGAGAGTACGCTGCAGGAGCAGCAAAGGCACCATTAGCAGCGGCGAATGCGGGACCGGCGACGTATGTCCGAGCGACCGGAGCGACGGCGGCTGATGTCACAATCGAAGGCGATGAGTGGACATCGACTCTGGATTCCGATGTATAGGCCGATGGTGCACCAGAGAAAGCCACAAGGTGTGAAGGCTTTGCCGTGGCTAAAGCCATCAATGAAAACAACACCACCAGCGAATTCATCGTGGTCTGTGTTAGTTCAGACGTAAATAACAAACTGATGCTTTCTTTTGGGTAGTATATCGTTTTTATACTAGTCTCAATACAGCTGAAATAAAAGTCAAGTTCAACAAGTTCTGTCTCATCGGATCGCAAAAATAAAACTACTCGGAAGCTTACATCAACCAATACGAAATAAAATGAGACAAAATATAAATTAAACTGCAACAATCGTAATATACACTACCGGCTATTTAGATCTTCATCAGCTATCCGCTTTGCACCAACTCCGACAACTAATACATTAGTAATAATTATATTTAATTAATTTAGTCACCAGAAAAATTATGTTTACAGCTTAGAATTATCTTATCGGAACTTAGATATTATTTCAAAAAAATAAACATTCCAAATTACTAAAAAAGTGTTGTACGACGTTGTGTTATTTGACGTACTTTAATACTAACATAATTATAAATAACATCCCCCCGTTAAGTTGACAATTCATAATACAACTATGTATTGCATTACAACTAGTGGTCGCCCGCGACTTCATCGGGACAGAAATAAAAAGTAGCCCGTAATATACCCGCAATCATCACTTACCTTCCCCTTAAAACACGTCAAATTCTCCCAGCCTGTTTTGGAGTTTTTTTTCGATGTTACATACAGACACTCAAATTTTATTAATATGTATAGAGTACGTTTAATTGTTTTAGCACGTAAAGCTCTGACGCTTAACCTTTTCAGAGGACACAGAGACAGCGATAGATTATTACTTATTATCGAGAATGATTCTTTTATTGTTAATTTTACAAAGATATTTTATTTACATTATGATTGCTTACGACAATGCTACTTGGGAGAATTAAAAATGCACAATAATAATTGTTATATTTCATAAGTAATATTCTATAATGTACCTGTAACAATTCTTAAAAAAGTTTTTTCAATTCAATGTTTTATTTTATGTTTTTAACAATCAAAATAAAACAAAGTTATAGTGTGTCTACTTTAAATAGATTAGTTTGACAATTCAATTGACAATTCACTATATATGGGTTAAGTAAAATCGATTAGGAATTTTTTTCCATTTTCGATGGTTGTTCTCATAGAACTTGCAATCGATAATCTCGTAATTATTGATTTTGAATTACAATATAAATAAATTTGTTTCTTTCTATTCCTACTTAATCCTTCATAATGACATAAAGAAATAAGACATTCAACCATAAATTGCGGTGTTGACGTACTAAAATATATTTTTTAATAAATTGTTCGATACACAGCCAAATAACAGTAATAAATCAAAAAGTTTTAAAATCCCTAAATTATAGTACGTATTTGTTGGATTAATTTTATTACAAGATCGATTTTCGATAGTTCACAGTTATTCGTTGTGCGCTACACTATGACAACCGTCCATTAAGTACAACATTTATTCTCATACAAAATTAATTCGATATTTTATAGGCGTCAGTTGTCGAACTAATCTATCTTAAATAGACACACTATAATCAAAATTAATGACTGCATGCCAATCTGTTTTTCTAAATATATTTATCTCGTCGGTAATCACAACGTTCTATTTAATTTGTACAAACATTTTATTTACAAAATTTTAATAAGTTCTTGTAACTTTTGAAGGCGATTAAAAAAGACGTTTAAAATTTTCCAAAAGTTGTATACAGTCGTGTTATAGTTACACGGTAATTACAAGGTCATTTATTCGGTACAGACGCATTCGTCATATTAAATGGCGAACTATAGATTTGAATTTCGCGGTTTAATAATGTAGGCAGATCGACTCATTTTTATTCTACCCGCACAAGAGGGTAGTTTGAAATCCCTCACCGCCACGAATGGCACGGGGAACTGCAGGGGCCAGTGCGGGGTAGGCAGTGAGGCGGCACAGTTGAGTGTAAACATTGGGATTCAAGTGAAGTTGGACGTAAAGAGCGCATCGGATGTGTCGGTTTCGTAGCTTATTGGCTTGCTTAAGTTTCGTTCGGTTCAACGATGAAGCATTTAAAGCACGCTTACAGGTGCCTCAGACTATTTGAAAGTAACATTATTCGATTGACACCGTCAGAGTGACCAAGTACCTGAAAGGGGTGAACGGGGCATCGACTTGGTAAGTGCCATTTCATCTATTTACAATATTACAACACCCCCTGCCGCACGATCCTCACCCGTCGTATACGGCACATATTACTCTACCCACTAATAAAATTAAGAAAAGGTACTAACTTGTTTTGTTCTAATTATGAAATATGTGAATTTTAAGTGCCGTAGCATAGTTTGTTGTTTATTGTGGACGTAATGTATAAAATCGATAATGTTCTTTTTAATAATTTTAGAACATATTACCTCAAGTTTAGGTACGAATTTTTATCCTATACATATCCTGTTTCTTAATGCATTAAGTATATAATATATGATTAAATTTAAAATGAAACAAATTTTATAACTGAATTAATTTAATTCGGAAGTGTATTCATCAAACATACATCCTGAGTACAGCAGGTCGTTTATCCCAGATTCAATTATTTACCAAGCGTGGACGCCGTAAGCTTTAGGGAGTACAGCGGAGTAAGTAAGAGGAGATGACACCAAAGTGGGCGCAGAGTACGCGGATACGTAGGGAGAGTAAGAGGAGTAGGTGAGAGGAGCGACAGGGGATACGACAGCGCCGTGGGTGACAGGGGAGACGAGAGTGCTGTAAGTCAGGGGCGCGACGGAACGCTTGCGGAGATGGTGGACGCCAGAGAGTGCCTTCGCCTGATAGTGGGCAAGGCGAGCGGAGACGACTTCGGGGGTGTCCAGGGGTACGCCATTGACTGCGTCGAGTACCACGGCCGGAGAGTTGGGCGCTTGAGAGAGAGCAGCCACAGCGGGGGTGACGTACGAAGCCTGGTAGAGGGAGGGCGCGTACAGCGGCGTGCCATGGTACACGCTGGAGCTGTACTGCGACAACGAGCTGACTGCCGGCACCGCGCTGTATGCCAATGGCGCCACTAGCCCGGGCTTGGCCGCCGCCATCGCCACTACGCATAACAACACCACCAATTTCGACATTATGGTCTGCGTTGAGTACTCGGTGCGAGCTGTCGAAAGAATAAAGATCTACTGATGTCTAACGCACGCCTTGAGATGTTTATATACCGGTCTTCTAGGCTAATGTTCAACAAAAAATGAAATACGTCACCTTCAAAATTTCACATCAACGTTGATAATCTGAAGCATTGTCACACGACATTGTTTTGATTAAGAAATAGTCGTTTATATGATAATGTCAAGTTAGACGGAAGTCAGTAATATGGTTTAAAGAATTGTGTTTAGTAGTTTATAAATCAGATTGGTTGTATGCATAACTCAACAATCTTGTGGTAAAATTTAATTTTTTGTCGTATGCAAGCGATAGATGAAAAATTCAAATCGAGTGTGAGTTTAAGAATATTACGGTCCATACCACTTAGAATAAAAATTAAGAATTTTGGAACTAATGCGACGAAGCAGTTTGTATTGTTTACTTTCTGTTAATAATTAATAGTACAATAAACCTACAACGTTAACGGTTCAGGAATGGTAAGGGATGAATACCAAAGTTTAGAGAGTTTATTGTTATCCCAATTAATCACATGTTAAAATGGTGATAACTTAATTAATAAATTCTAATTAAATTGTTCCTTTTACACAAATACGGAAATATTACAATTTCTTATCAATCTAATTATTTGGTATAGAGGAATCTTAATATAGTAGGCTTTAAACTTGAAATAAAGTGGCAATAACGATTAAGCTAATTAAAGTGATAATGTAAATTATTCGATGGTAGCAAAAAACTCTTATCACCCCACACATAATATTTGTATCAACTTCCGCGTAACTTGACATTTCGTCTAAACTAGACTACACCTGTTTCATAACCATAACGACGATAAGTGTCCACGTACCGTGTGGATAAATTAGGTACATTTTTTGCTGGATGACCGGTATATAAACATCTCAAGGCGTGCGTTAGACATCATTAGATCTTTATTCTTTCGACAGCTCGCACCGACTACTCAACGCAGACCATAATGTCGAAATTGGTGGTGTTGTTATGCGCAGTGGCGATGGCAGCGGCCAAGCCCGGGCTAGTGGCGCCAGTGGCATACAGCGCGGTGCCGGCAGTCAGCTCGTTGTCGCAGTACAGTTCCAGCGTGTACCACGGCTCACCGCTGTACACCCCCTCACTCTACCAAGCCTCGTACGTTACCCCTGCATTCGCTGCTCTCACTCAAGCACCCAACTCCCCGGCTGTGGTACTCGACGCCGTCAACGGCGTGCCCCTGGACACCCCCGAGGTTGTCTCCGCTCGTCTTGCCCACTACCAGGCGAAGGCGCTCTCTGGCGTCCACCATCTCCGCAAGCGTTCCGTCGCACCTCTGACTTACAGCACACTGGTCTCCCCTGTCACCCACGGCGCTGTCGTATCCCCTGTCGCTCCTCTCACCTACTCCTCTTACTCTCCCTATGTATCCGCGTACTCTGCGCCCGCTTTGGTGTCATCTCCTCTTACTTACTCCGCTGTACTCCCTAAAGCTTACGGCGTCCACGCTTGGTAAATAATGTAAACTGTGATCAACGACTTATGTGTAATATATAATAACAATTAAATAAACAATTTTTCATGCAAATCTTCTTATTATTTTAAACTATTAGGTACCAGTCAACAACTGCGTAATAAGTTAATTAGTAGAAAAGTTTTGTTGTAATAGTTAAAATTATTTTGTAAGCTAGTCGTATTTTGTGATATTGCAAATAATACACATTGTATAAGAGGACGTTTATTTCCTACCCATTACGATTATCTTGTCTTATCGTAACATTTTATCACAGAACCTCAACGTTCTGTAAAAATACACAATGTCATTCTTTAATCTTTGATAAAACAAAGACATAATACAAATGTTACTCTAGTCGTAACCTATAGTTATTTTGTACGGTTTGCTGAACGATTTGTGATGCTAAACGGGAAACAAATTTAATTCTTTGCCTGTATATAGTATGATAGTTAAATGAAAAAACTAAGGACGACCAGCAAATTATCACTAAAAGAAATAATAAAAATAAGTTGTATTCAAATAATTAAAATGAATAATTATATTTTGTGTGTGTGTTGGAGGTCAAATTCTAATCTGCTTCCCTTTCCTAACGATTTGTAATAATGAATGTGAAGGGAAATAAATCCTCTCTCTGCGCGACTTAACTTATATTTATTAGTAGGTAACACATTCGCAAACTGACAATAAACAGTTGAAAAATTGTGAAGAAATGTGGACCTAACATTTTTTAATAATTTTTTAACTTATTTTTTTTTGTCAAAAACACAAACACAACATGACTCACATAAATCGGGAAACAAAATTGACCAAACAAGTTAAACTGGCAGACAACTCTACACTAATTTATTTTATCTAACAAATATGCAGGATGGGAAAATGTTTTAGAAATACTTTGTCGATTCCACCTGCTTTTCTTATGCTCAATTGTATATGTAGGTTAAACGCTATTTCTAAAGTCCGTCGGTGAAAAAAATAAGACATAAAATAAGTTCTTGCTAATTTTATTATTTAAAAAATATTAACAACTAAATAATGACTTGCTTATATATCAAGTGTAAAATCCATCCGTTAGTCTTGAAATTTAATAGTGACCCAGAGCAGCGTGCGCCGAACCGAAGCCCTGGCCACCGTAGTGTCCGGCGCCGAAGTTACCCGCGAAAGTGTGGGTGAGAGGAGCAGCTGGCACGAATGATGTCAGCACCGGCTTAACGACCGGCACGACTGCAACAACAGCTGGGGATGTGCGCACATCTACGCGGTGCTGGTGGGAAACAGCGACCGGAGCCACGTGAGCTATCGGTGCAACGTGTTCGTAAGGAGCCACAACATGCGGCGACCGTTTGTACAAATGATGGCCGTTTCCTACTCCGTGTCCCAACAAACCATGACCTGCGATTCCATGGCCAGCGAAACCAGCGCCAGCCAGTCCGTGACCAGCGAAGCCTGTGGTGGCGAGTCCATGGCTGCCGAGTCCAGCGCCAGCAAGTCCAGCAGCAGCAAGGCCAGCGCCGGCGAGTCCACCGCTCACAATTCCGTGACCGCCGAGTCCAGCGCCGGCGAGGCCGCCAGCGCCGGCTATTCCGTGACCGCCGAGGCCGTAGCCGCCGAGACCAGCTCCTGCAACTCCATGACCAGCCAGTCCATTACCTAGGATGCCATGATGGAGAGGAATCGCAGCTACTACCGGAGCATGGACTGCGTGCACTGCTGGCACCACAGCGTGGCCCTGGCACAAGGCGAGACTGATGAGTAGGAGTCCGAACTTCAACATTTTTAACTTATATATAATTTACTACTTAACGCTAGAATATTTCGGAGTAAACTAATGATATCCAGGCGGGAAACTATCTACTTATACTATGAAAGCAAAGTACTATGAATCACAGTGACAGGGATCTACGAGCTAATAATAGATTCGATACGGCGTTGAACACCGTCGACTTACTAGAAAAAATTTGGTGTTCACGTCCTTTTGATTAGTAATGAACAATACGAGACATTAGAATGTTGAGGTGAAGGTTTCTGTCAGCCATATTTTAGTTTTACTTTAGTGATGGTTAATAGGTTTAACGCAAAATTGGATATTATAGAGCATCATCTCTATCTAAAGTTTGAGGTATGTTAAAAGCCCTCGGAAAACAGGTACAAAAAGAAGTAAAAAAATATAACCTCAATACAAAAAAATCAAGAAACCCAGTCTCTAAATGGATGTAATAACGCCATCTATGGAATGCATTTTAAATCGAATATTTCAAAAAAATGTTAACTAAATCAATTGTAATGTTACATATATAACACTGTTATTTTAGAATACAACAGTTGTTCGAAAACATCGACACATTATTAAGCATTGTAAAAAAAGTTATATCGAGTTGGTTTCGAACTTGTTTTTCACTGATATTACTAAAACTATAGACTATTACTTACGTCCAATGTATTATATTTTGTACAGGTGTAATACACACACCGGGGAAAAACGAATTGAATGACATCTAACCAAAATTATGCATTTATGTGAGAGCTCTTACAGGTATTAGATAAATTCTCCTCAAAATTATTTTTCATATTAATTAACAAACAAACTAAAAATCATTAATTTACAAACGCATCCTAACATAGTACTTACTAATTAAAATATAAAAACTATGAGATACAGTTACAAAATATTGTTGCATAACATAGATACAAGATGAATTAAAGTGCAAGATCAATTACAATTTCATGAATCACGATAATAAAAAAACGTGCATCTCAATCCGGCCAATGGCCCCGACCCTATGATGTAACGGACCCGACACCATCGGCCGAGAACTTGAACATTGCGCAGTCACAACCGCATTGAATACCGTTAACTTACTATAAAATATCAATCTCACTCACTATTATACTTACTAACAAATTAGATATCAAAATGATTGCCCTTCTTCTAATCGTGTTCGTAAACCAAGCGAGTACTAATTTAGTTCCATTAATATACGCAGCACCTAGCGCAGTGTCTCATCAATCTAGGATAGATATAAAACATACATCGAATTACCTAGCAACGCCTTTAGTGTATAGTCCGGGGACTATTTTATCAAATGTCCCGAAGCTAACGACGCACGGTGAAATTGTGCTCCCTATGATACCAGAAACTGTTTTAACGCCAATAGCTCTGACGCTGTATACACCGCTATCCAGAGCTCTTGGTCAGCCCATATCTATTGATAAAATGCAAGAAGCCCAAGATACGCTAATGATAATAGAAAATGTGACGGAGTCTAAAACACAAAAGTTAAGTGAAAAGTCGTGAGTGAAATAAGTTTCGTCCTTTAAAGAAAATTTGTGCCTGATTAAAAATTAGTTAAATGTTATCTTAACCATGATTTTGAAAATTGTTTTTATATTATATTATATATTAAATAAATTACTATTGTAACATGTCATGAATTATGCTAATTTTAAACACCGACAGTATTTTCTTTCTCGAAATTGTTTTTAAATATTTTACCTAAAAACTATGTAACTATTTGCCTAGTCACAAATTTGTGAGGAACTGTTGTGTTTGTGTCTGCGCATGCATTTTTCATGTCTTGTAAGGGTAAATTTTAAATTAAACAATTAATGAACTTAAACATGTATTATTCGGAATTTCAACAAATTTTAACTCATTACAAAATTCTTTTTATTTAAATAGTACAAAAGTTTGTAAGCCATATAATACCAGCAATTATACATCTTATGTACAGACTATTAAAAAAGAAAATCTTAATGACAACAATGCCGTGGTGGTATACATTTAGTAAGTAAGGTTTACCTTTTTACTTCTTGAAGAAGAAAGGAGAGTAGCCATAGGGATAAGTTGAAATGTATGAAGTAGAGATTAAGGGGGCCGCAGCGGCGTAGGTACCAGGGTACCAAGAGGAAGTGTAGGTAGTGGGAGCAAAATAGGAGGCGATCAGAGGGGCAGAACGCTTCTTGATGAAATGGGCGGGTGTTAGATAGGAGAGAGGAGTGTGTACCAAAGGTACTTCATTGGTGTAAGAAGCTGAGTAGGTAGTCGCGACGGGTGTGCCTGTAAAATAAGTGTTGTGGGCGAGGACGGGTGTGGTGAGCAAGGCAGCGGATCTCTTCTTGATTAAATGGGCTGTGGTGAAGACGGGAGACGAGTGCAGCACCGGTGTGGTGTGGACGAACGATGATGGGTACGAATACGAATAAGTTGTAGCTAGAGGGGCGCTGGCGATGTATGTTGTAGGTGTAATGAAGCCCGGTGATCGCTTTTTAATGTAATGAGCGAAGGGGTACGCCGCAGAGTAGAACAGTGGTGATGGATGGATGACACTGCTGGCCTGCTGCGAGATTGTAGTCTTCGCTGGCTCCACCAAAGTAGTCGTGTATGTAGTAGGGAAGAGCAGGTCGGGCTTGGCCGCCGCCACCGCCAGGAGAGTGCACAACACCACCAGCTTGAACATTGTGGTCTGTGTTGTTCGACTTAGTGACAACTGATACATGAACACTACGATGTATCGTATTTATAGAAAGTATTCGCAAAAGATAAGGGCGATCTTATTTCGCAAAACCGGTGCGAAGACATCGCCCAGGAAGTAGATATTAAAACCGGACAAGGACATCGAGGCAATCGGCCCGCTCGAGTCCATCATTTGCAAGCCCTTTTACAAAGACTCGTTATCTAAAGTGCAACTTATTACAGTCGATTTCATACAAAGATAATCTGGCTATACAATGCAACAATTTAATTTAAAACTCTATTTTTAACTTCGAATTAACTTCAATACGATGAAAATAATGTCAATATCAGAGTAGGACTAGTGCATGACATAGTGCCATCTGTCGGCTACATTTTAAAATTTAAGTACTAATAATTCAAACAAAATAAACTGTAACCCTATTGTAATTATAGTTTATTATTAACATGACTGTACACCTGTGCAAACCACCAAGATTGTTGCTATTCCTCAATAGTGAGATTTAATACGTCATTGTGGGTTTCAACTGTAGTGATTTATAATCATACATACATATTGTAGTCTATATTTTGTCAAAGAGAATGAAAGGGATGTCTCTAAAAGGCCAGCAACGCATCTGCGGTTCGTCTGGCATTGCACGGGCGTCGATAAAAACCTCGGTGTTCCCGCTGCTCGTTTGCCCCTTTCTCTTATAAAAAAATGTCAGTAATAATACATCACTGTATGAAGTGGAGTTTTGAGAGTATTTCAAAAATACTTGTGGTATGCGTTTTCATTACGTCATAGACAAAAAATGTCAAATATATGAGATTGGTCGCAGTACTTTACTTCGATTGGAACGCTGTACAAATCCAGTACTGTCGGCTTTCTCAAAAATTTTCGTGCTGGACTCTCTGTGGTTACATGGCACGATATCTATCTATAAAGAAAGTAGTGTTAGTTACACATTTTTTTAATTTTTTATTATACACAATGTTTTAATATACACAAACTCAAGAACGGCTTTATCGATATGGCTGAAATTTGGTGAGGAGGTAGCTTAGAGCCAGGAGACGGACATAGGATACTATTTTTTTTTTCGAAGTTGTGCTTTTTTTTAACTTACTAATATTATAAATGTGAATGTTTCGATGTATGTGATGTGGATGGACGGGTGTTTGAAGATATCTCTAGAACGACTGAAAGGATTTCGATTAAATTTGGCATACGTATAGAACACATAGGCTACACTAATTAAGTTTTTTATATATCCACGTAAACGGAGTCGCGGGCGACAGCTAGTGTATAATATACATACGTACCCGCGAAAACCATAACAAAAATTAACCATCGTTCATGTAATGTTTTTATGATTCACTTTTAAGCGTGTACTTAACTTAACTATATATAAAAAAAAACTTAATTGTACTCGTGTTTCGAAACGTATAGAATTACATGAAATCGTGGAGCACCGAGCACGTGCTATTGTTTCATTTCCAGGTCACTTAAGATCCACGCACTATGACAGCCTTTTGAATCCATTACTGCAATAAAAATAGGTTAACACGCTTAACAACAGATTTATCTATTATAATACGAAACATACCACAACATGTATTTATGTTGAATGATAAAAATATTTGAATCATCAAATTTTTTATAACATGCAGCATGTACTTTGCATGTGATAGGAGTGATTTTATTCTTTAACCTCTTCATTTTGTTTTTTATTTTTAATTTCAGAACAATACATTAAGATTGTAAACTTGTAACATGAACGTGAACCAAGTTATTGCGTGATCAAATCATATACAAATTAGTTTATTTCTAACCCCAATTGTACAAAAATAAGCCCTGAAATGTTGAATTTATTTCCTAAATTTTATTTTTGAATGATAAGTTTTTCACGATGTTAAAAGTTATTGTAATTAATTGAAAGGTTAGTAACTTGTAGCAAATTTCAAAGCGACTGAAGCTTATTTTTAATACGACAAGTAGTATAAATGTCAACTGAGAACAAAAGTTATTGATATGAAAAGAAAAAACTATTTACATACATTAAGACACTTAAATCATTTCTCAAAACTTGTTATTTCAAGGTTTTTACTGTGTTCCGGGAGTGTCCAATGCTCTAAAAAATAGTATATATAGCGAACGAATCCAGTCTTCAACATCAGTTTCTACATTGAGAAATCTGCCTTCATACAAAATGATGAAATTAGTGGTTCTTTCCTGCCTGGTGGCTTGCGCCATGGCCAGCGCCTACGCGCCTGGTCTAGCATATAGCGCATACGGCGCATACCCATATGCGTATGGAGCATACAACGGAGCTTATGGCTTCGCACCCCTCGCGTACAGTGGTGCCTACCTGCAGCCGAGCAACTACCGCGGCCCTCTGTCTCTTGCACCCGGCCAGCCCGCTGACACCCTCGGCGCTGACGGCAGGCCCCTGGACACCTTGGAGGTCAACTTGGACCGCTCTGCTCACATAACCGCAAAGGCCCTCGACAGCGGTCTCCATCTGCTGAAGAAGCGCTCCGTGGTTGCGCCGGCAGTGGTGGCTCCGATTGCCGCTCCCATTGCGCCTGTCGCCACCTCTCTGATTACCCCAGCGACCCCCATCACCTACGCCGCGCCTATCGCCCCCGCCGCAGTCGCTTACGGCCCGACTTACACTCACTACTTGTAAAATATTACTTGTAACAATGATACAGAACGGCAATAAACGTATGAAGATTTATTTCTTGATTTTTTCTTATAACTTATATTTTTATGTGTATGCAGTATTTTGTAATGGTTAAAATAAGACACATAATCTATAACGTCTAATACATAAGTTTATGTGCTTACACTTGATACAATTTGACCAATTAGAAAGTCCAAAGTCCGTCGTTTCGGAGATGATCGGGAACAAACACGGTTTGGACGAACATACAAACAGGACAGGCAAACAGTCAAAAATTTCAAATATTGCTTTTTCGTTATCAGCGACACAAAATATTAAATATTATTTTTTGTCGATATTACATACAGACACTTCTAGTTTATTAATTTGCATAAATATAGAAAATACGTCAGTAAATGAATACTAATAAAATCTGTTTATTTATAACCTTGGTTGCTTTACTAGGTTTACCTGTACTAAAGGGACCGCTTCCCTCACATATTGTATAATTTTAACGTGTCGAAAAAAAATTACAACTATAAGAAAACTCTAGTAGTAATGATATATACGAGACCATAAATATAAGAAAAGCTACAAGATATAAGTTATTTATACAATTGACCATTAACATTATAAAAAAAAATAGCTGAATAGTAGCTTCTGCAACAACATTCATCTTTTTAAGATAATATGCTAGTTCTGTTTTTTGTTACAAAATACTCCTTTATGACATCATTTATCCATATGAAAAGGGGAAGTTCGCGTCTGTAAACAAAACAATCCATTAACTAAGGGACCATAATATTAATTTCGATTAAATAGTGTAACTAACTCGACTTTCTTTTACATATTTTTATATTAAAAAAAATATGCAAATTATTAATTTTTTTTGAATATTAAAGTAAACAACCTCAGACTTTATTTGTGCTACATGGGTAAAATATGTACTGAGTTGCCATAATACTAGTTGTATTAATTAAATAAAGTTCCGCAAGTAAAATTATCATAAATAATCTGTGACGCATGTTTTGTAACATTTCCTATAACACTTTCATTGACATTCAACTTAAGAAAGATCGCTTACAGAACTTTTATTATATTTCATATTTTAATCCGTCGTTGAGTCGTCGCGGTCAACGTCTTTCATAATACCTTAAAATTAATATTCCCTACACGTGCCTAAAAGCTAGCATAAATGATTAGTATGTTTGGCACATGGTTACAATTATGGGATAAAGTAAAGAAAATGTAAGTTTTATAACCTTTATTTAAGTTTTTTTTTTATAATAAGTATTATGTTACAGGACGCGAGTGACGTGTGTAGCGGTGCGGGCGTAGGCAACAGGGCTGATGTAGGAAGCGGCGTAAGGTGCGGTGTAGGCAACACGAACTGCGGGGGCGATCAGTGGGGTCGCGACATGTGCCAGTGGGGCTGCGATCACTGGAGTGATCACGGAGCGCTTCTTCAGCAGGTGGAATCCGTTGTCAAGCGCCTTGGCGGTGTAGTGTGCGGCACGGTTCAGGTTAACGTCAAGGGTGTCGAGGGGCCTGCCGTCAGCGGCAAGGATGTTGGCGGACTGTCCTGGCGCTAGGGACAACGGACCGCGGTAGTTGTAAGGCGCGGCGAGAGGCGCGCTGTAGGCAAGTGCCGCAGGGTAGGCGTAGGGCGCCGAGTAGGCGAGGGGCGCGATAAGGCTCGCAGTCGCGGCGGCCAACAGGCAAGACAACACCACCAGCTTCATCATGTTTGTAGTGGTCTGTGTTGTTTACGTGTGAACACTGATACGGTTCTTTAATTTCAGTCCGCTTTATATATGAATATGTAGAAAGTATTAACAATAAACTGTTCGACGGAAGACGTTGACCGTGAAGGTTCAACTAAAAATGATAACATGCAAATTTAAATTTCATGGATACGTATAACTTCAATAAGAATTGAACAAAACTTTATGTGGTTATCATAAAAGTTAACAACATAAAATAATAAATAAACCAAATACATACATTTTGCATTAGAACCACGGTTGTATACCCGTCGTGGGTTTTACTGCATAAATTTTTCATTAACGATATCAATCCTTTCTTCTTACAAATAAGCCCTTACTGACATTATGTGTTAATCGACCATCTTGTCAAAGTGCTGCATCAGTTAAACCCTCTTGTTTAGCCTATTTGGCAGGGAAAAAAAATTATAATATGTATCTATTTTTCTTTAGAACTTTATTATTTTGTTGCAAAAGAAATACGATATTTAATGGAAATGCAGAAATTTTTTTGCTATTTTTGCTGACTACTTTAGTAATAAAAAAAATTATATACTTATCATGTATAAAACATTTTCTATAAAAGTAAGTAAGAAACGATCTGATCTTTTAGTTTAATCGGCAGTTTAAAAATGTTTTTCACGGCCAACGTCTTTCGGTAATAGTTTTGATTAATAATTGAACTTGTATAAAAGCGGACTGAAATTAAAGGACCGTATCAGTGTTCACACGTAAACAACACAGACCACTACAAACATGATGAAGCTGGTGGTGTTGTCTTGCCTGTTGGCCGCCGCGTCTGCTAGCCTCCTCGCGCCCCTTGCTTACTCAACGCCATACGCCTACCCTGCGGCTCTTGCTTACAGTGCGCCCCTCGTCGCCCCGTACAACTACCGTGGCCCTCTGTCCCTGGCGCCAGGACAGCCCGCCAACATTCTTGCCGCTGACGGCAGACCCCTTGACACCCTCGACGTCAACCTGAACCGCGCCGCACACTACACTGCCAAGGCGCTCGACAACGGATTCCACTTGCTGAAGAAGCGCTCCGTGATCACTCCAGTGATCGCAGCCCCATTGACCCATGTCGCGACCCCACTGATCACGCCCGCAGTGCGTGTCGCCTACACCGCGCCCTACGCCGCCTCCTACATCACGCCTGTGGCCTACGCCCGCACCGCTACACACGTTACTCACGTCCTGTAAAATACGAAATATTTTTAATTGTATAAAAGAAAATAAAATAAATGAATTAAAGTTTTAAATCTACTTCTCTGGTTTCATTATTAAAATTATATCATAGTAGTAGATTGGTTCAACTATTTGCCATCGGCAACGCATTTAAGGCCAGATTGAATATTCGATCTCGAAAAACTTTTACTTATTCGCAATATTTTTAAATGTTCAATCCATTTCTATCGAATTTCAAACAAGATCAAAGAAGAATAAATATCGGTCCGACAATTTTCGCAATGTAATAAGTAATCTTAGACAAAATACAAAGTAAATATTATATTTTTGTCAAAGATTGAATAATTATTTCTGCCGTAAATTGTTTTCTCGTTCCTGCGCCAATTTTTTTTTCAAAAAAGTTTAATTTTTAAGAACATTTCATATAAGCTGAATGGAATAGTGAAATTTAATTTTGGGACTTTTTTCAAACGTGTACCGTGTACTGAAAAATTACAAATGCTACAGGCGACGACAAAACAGCTCAAACGATGGTCTTATTAATTCATAATAAAGTTATGCATATATTCTTACATGGAAGGTATTAGTTAACTTGTTATGTAAGAAATTTACACTTATATAAACAAAACATTTATTTTTATTTCTTAAGGTTATAAACCTGTAAAATTGTTTTCTTTTGCTTTAATTCAACTCACGTGATCGATCAGCCTGCTGAGTATAGGATCTTATTCTCCAATTTACGTAATATTTGAGAGCAATCTAAACCTTCATAATAACTATATATTTAAATAATACCCATATCCTATTACCTAATATATTTAAATTAGTTGTAAAAAAACAATTTAATAATACGTTGATTAATTGAACCCATTATTCTTATTTAATTTTAATTATATAAAATTTTTGTTACATTTAAATTACTTCCCTATATTTTTCGTGGAACATTTATACAGATAAAAATAAACAAACCTAAAAAATTGTTATTTATTCAATAGAAATAATGAGGCAAAATATAATAATTAATAATGCCCTAGTAAACAATGAACTTTAGCTGCCCTGCAAAAGTAGTCTCGTCACGGTCAACGATGCATTCTGGCGACGCCTATCAACTTACTCTGAGAATGCACCTATATAAGCGGATAGGTGCGATGTCACTACATCAGTGTTTGCACGTCCAGTGAACAGCACAGACCAAGTCCAAGATGATGAAACTGGTGGTGTTTTCCTGCCTCTTGGCTGCCGCAAGCGCCGGCATCGTCGCGCCCCTCACCTACGGTGCGTTCCTGGCGCCCGGAAACTACCGCGGGCCAGTGTCCTTGGCTCCCGGACAGCCCGCCAGCATCCTCGCTGCCGACGGCAGGCCTTTCGACACACTGGACGTCAACTTGGACCGCTCTGCTCACTACACCGCTAAGGCCCTAAACGGCTTCCATCTCCTGAAGAAACGGTCCATTGTCGCCCCTGTCGTCGCCCCTATCGCCGCCCCAATTGTTGCTGCGCCCGTCGCCCGCTTCGCCGCCCCACTAATCAGCCACACTGTGCCTTTTGCCTACGGCGCCCACATTGCGCCTCTTGCTGTCAGCCACGCCGCCCTCACCCACGTTTTGTAGATTACAAGTGGAGCACCATAAGTTTAAATGCAAATAAACATTTAAATGAAACAAAAACATATAATCTTTCATTCTATTTAAATATTAGATACTTACTTTCGCCCTCACTATTTTAGATTTATAGGATAAGAAAAGTTCACTATGTCAACCTGTGGTTGTCCACAACTGGACATACCAGTAGACCTCATTGTTCAAACCATTATCAATTGACAGACGACCGGTCATCGCGCTCGTTGTCTCTTTAGCTTACACCTACAAAGGCAATGTGCCTTTTGCGATCAATCATGCAGCCCTAAACAACGTTTTGCGGAACATGTGACACGAGCAGTTACAATACAAATAAACATTAATGGTTAACATTAATGTATTGACTCGCTTAGCTGCTACTAAGCGGTGAGTTTTTGTATGTTTTAGCGTTTTTTCCGCTCACTCCTAATATTATGTATATTCTTTAAAGACACTCTATTAAGCTATCATAAAAAGGATATATAGGGATAAACTTTCTGCACTAAAAATATGTAGCTAACATAATACATTTATCATTTAGAAAGTTAATGCGAAAGTTGAAAAAATATTTGCTTTTGCAATAAGTCAAATTCCTGACTGATGTACTAGATTAGGCTTTAATCAGAAGGCCAGCGAGTAAAATGCGTATGTTAAGTGTAGTAGCTTCAGTATGGCTATTTTAATAGTATGGCGTTTTTTATTAATAACTAGCTGTCGCCCGCGTCTCTGTCCGCGTGGATTTTTAAAAAAATATAAAATATAGCTAAGGTAAGTAAAAAGTAGTACTTCACGGCATAAATTCGAAAAAAAAATAATGAATAGTATCCTATGTCCGTCTCCTGGCTCTAAGCTAGTTCCTCACCAATTTTCAACTATATCGGTAAAGCCGTTCTTGAGTTATAAATAGTGTAACTAACACGACTTTCTTTTATATATTATACATATTTATAGATATTGTCAATTGTTACGTAAAAACTATATACTTAACGATTGTTAAAAAGTAATCTAACGTTTAAACATTGTATTATCTCTATCCCGATTTCTACTCGTATTAAGTTTTTTTATAGTTTAAAGTACATAAAATGATATCTAAATCAAGCCTTTGAAAGCAAAAACTTCTGTAGGACGCTAATTTATGCAATACAGACAAAAATATATATGAATGAAGTATAGTGTTCAAATGGAAGATAAGGTGTGCACAGAAAAAAATAATTTACCTACGAGGATCACCATAAATCACCCTTAACTTAGGGTAGGCTTCGAGCCCCTCCGTGGGGACGTATAGTGAGCTGATAATGATGATGGAAAAGAAGTTAGTAGGTGGATCACCGGGTTTTAAGTAATTGCTTCATACGAACTCGATTGACATAATGAGTTGCAGATGTGTTTTCTAATTTTAAATGACGACTGAACGTATTAATGGACAAAAGGATTTTTCATATTTTTATAGATTTCCATCAAATCTAACTCTCATTATCAACATGTTTTTTATGTAATATTGGAATTGATTTTGTTAACAAATATTTGTTGGACAACAACTGTTATAAACTATACTAGCTAAAAATAATTTTAAATTACATCTACAAAATTACTTACTACTACTGTACTTCTTTGAATCCTATTTATTTGTGTTTAAGTTGTCGTTTTTCTTGTAAAACTCGAATTGTTTTTAAAATCATATCTCATTATGAAGTCGTTCATATTATATTCATATTAATTTCAAAAGTATCTCAAACGTTTTAAGATTCAAAGACGATTATAACAAAAATAATATTTCTAGTATACAGGCATTGCAAAGATAACTATAATATAGTTGAATTCATTGCTTTATTTATTTTTAATTCGTAATAATTTCAAAATAAAAAAAAAATCTTTTTATACAATAACCATAAAAGCCGTAACCGTATACATACATTCTTTTTCTCCCTTTAAACAAACAACTGCTACGAAATTTAACGTAGACGATATTCGAATTAAAAAACACTGAAAAGAAATAGTAAAATTATAGCAGTGATGATTTCACACATCTCGATAAAAAAATGAGTTAAAGCTACTTAAGTACTGATTAAACTACACAACATAAAAGCCTATTGTAATTACCCTATTATACATTATACCTAAGTTGTCACGTAAATGTTGTCTCGTCACGGTCATCGATGCATTCCGGTAACGCCCATCAACATACTCTGATAATGCACCTATATAAACTGATAGGTGCGATGTCAATGCATCAGTGTTTGCACGTCCAGTGAACAGCACAGACCAAGTCCAAGATGATGAAACTGGTGGTGTTGTCCTGCCTCTTGGCTGCCGCGAGTGCCGGCATCGTCGCGCCCCTCGCCTACGGTGCGTTCCTGGCACCCGAAAACTACCGCGGGCCAGTGTCCTTGGCCCCCGGACAGCCCGCCAGCATCCTCGCCGCCGACGGCAGGCCCTTCGACACACTGGACGTCAACTTGGACCGCTCCGCTCACTACACCGCTAAGGCTCTTAACGGCTTCCATATCCTGAAGAAGCGCTCCATTGTCGCCCCTGTCGTCGCTCCTATCGCCGCCCCAGTTGTTGCTGCGCCCGTCGCTCGCTTCGCCGCCCCATTGATCAGCCACACTGTGCCTCTTGCCTATGGCGCGCACATCGCGCCTCTTGCGGTTGGACATGCTGGCATCACGCACGTTTTGTAGATATGAAGAGGAACACTACAAATTGAAACGCAAATAAACATTTTAAATCAGTCATAAATTTATTAAAAAATATTTTATTTTTACTTACGCTTACTAATTCTAACATTTAACATAAGTTGATTTGATTTCGCTATAAATTTCGATAGATAACACGTATCAATATTTTGTTACTACAGAACGAGTAGTAGAGTTCGTAGGAGCATTTTCTATACATAACATTAATAACTTACATCCCATGATGGACGATGGATATGATGGAGAAAGAGATCTCCAAATACATAAAAGGAAAATCCTCTTCCACCGCTACCTTTTCACTTCGCGACGCTTCGCTTTTAAACGAATTTAAATAGCAGCTTCTGCGTTTGCCATCATTCGCTAAACGAAAATTACTATGTCACCCGTTATAAAGGATATCATTTTTTGGATCGTCTATGTCATTCTAGCGACTATTCTACATTGGTTTAAAACAATACTTTGAATAATTTTGCACGTAATAATAACGATCTTTGCCATAAACTATTTTCTCCACAAAACCGAAACAGAAGTTCTTGTTCGTATATTGAAATCTTAACAACAATTCAGAGCCCTGATGAAATTGACCGTCATACGAGTAAGCGAACGAATTCGAGGTGATTCTCATACGCACAATCGTCATCGTTTAATTATAGGAAAATAATTTTATATTTACTTCTACATTATCTTATTAGGGTTTTATGGAATGAACTGCTTAGATGGAAAAGAATGTAGAATACTTTATTAGAATGTAGTTTTTTTTTTATATCAGCAGGTGAACATTGTATTGAATTGTAAATTGCCAGATTGCCGCGGTACTAATATAATATTTAAAGAAATAGAATAAGTGAAATAAAAAATGATATTATGTAACTCTCTTTTTATTCTTAAATCTAATGAAATTAACATATGTACAGTTCATATTTTTAACCGTGGGCCAAAGGAAGTCCGTGACCCAAAGCACCCAAACCCCATGGTGCAAGAGGCGCACCCCAACCGAGATGTCCGGCTGCGGATAGGGCAAGGGGCGCTGGCGCTATCAAACGGGCTGCGGGGATATCGAGGCGGGCGGAGTGAGACCACGCCGCGGCCAGGGGAGCCGCCGCTAGAAGTGGGGCGGAGCGCTTTCTCAGCAGATGACCACCAGCATGTTCCAAAGCTCTAGCGGTCAGGTGCGCGGATCGGTCCAAGTTCACGCTGAGTGTATCCAACGGCCTGCCATCAGTAGCCAGAATGTTGGCAGGCTGACCTGGAGCCAGGGAGATTGGTCCACGGTAGTTGTATGCACGGAGTCCTGCGGGCGCGATGGGGATGGGAGCAGCGACTGGTGCGGCGAGGGCACCATGTGCAGCGCCAAGCAGGGGAGCAGCCAGCCCTAAGCCCCAGCCATGGCCCCAAGCGCCCCACGGAGCAAGGCCGGAGGGATTTGCGGCCACCAGGGCCAGCACGGAAGACAACACCACCAGCTTGAACATTGTGGTCTGTGTTGATATCAGTTTAGTGAGCGACTGTTGCAAATTCCCAACAAATCATAGCTTATATACCGGTTCGTACGATAGGCGTTATCCCTGGTGTCTTTCTAACGCAGAAATATGTATATGATTAAGGGCGTTGTTCAACAGGCAATCTCGGCAAATGAATTCTTGAATACGGCGGAATAAGAACATTTTTCCATAACCGTAACCACTCTAAAACTTAATACATTGATTACTGACACCAAAATCCCCCCATGAAACATATTGTAATCTTTGTTTTGTCAAAGATAATGAGAGGGATGAAGATATGTTTTCTAAAGGAATTTTGGTCTCAGGAATCCACGATTGATAATACAGATAAGTGTGATGAAGAATATTTATCATTGTTACCATGGCCACAATGAGAACCTTGATAAAGGTACATTCACTAGAGTACTTCCATTGTGACCTAGACGTAAATATCTAATTATAGAGGTCATTTACTTTACAAAAATAGTCAGTTATAAATTAGTAAACAATCGTCGTTTTATAAGCTATGAAGTATTGAAAGTGTCGAGGAAGAGACTTTAACGTTTGCAAGACTCGTAAGCGAGAAAAAAAGTCAATTATAAACTGGAATAAAGGAAAAAAGGAAAGGAGGTAGTTTTGCCATTCGTCATCACCTTTACTTTCTTTCTATCCCTGTCATTAAAAAGAAATCATTACTGCTAGTTATTTTTACTTATGAATACATAACTTCGTTCGTTTAGCACCTTTTCCTAATGAAAAATATATTCAGGCAAAAGTTCTTTACCTACATATTTCAAAATAAAGACCTTCTTTTCATGATTTTTATCCTTTTACTTTCTGATTTTTATTAAACTTAAATGAAGTGTCTTATTTTTATTAACTTAGCGCGATTATCATAACGCAGAATACCAGAAAGTTTGGCCATAATATGCCCGCATGCATCAGTTGTCTTCCCGACCAATTCCCATCAAAATCGGTTCAAAGGTTTCGAAGATTACTCGGAATAAACGCGGGTTGTGGAAATTCATAAAGACACACATACAAAAATTTTAACAATAAAATTTTCGAATCCATATACGCAAATACGTCATGTGTACGAATAATGATTCTTTTTTGAACATTACATACAAACTCTCCCATTTTATTAATATGCATATAATATAGATATATGCTCTATATATCTCTTTATTTATTGCCTGTATGAATTAAAGGACTTGCAGATTTTTTTTTATATCACAAGGTGGCAAACGAGCGAGCGACCACCTGAAATCGCTGAAATAGCGAAGTGACCGTTGCCCATAGACATACGCAATTGCATATGCGTTGCCTACCTTTAATCGAAGGAGGAGAGGATGCACAGAAAGAAAATATTTTCCCTTTCCAAGCATCCTCTCATCCGGAAAGTCCACTTCCACTTCCCATTCTTTCCTTATAAGAAATAGGATGGGAAGGAAAAGAGGACTAACCTTGGCCTCCGGGACGCACACTCATCAGACGAAACGCGGAATTGCTTCCACTTCACGCCTGTCTTCTGTGTGGTCGTGGTATTTCACCGGGCGAGCCGGGCCGATTCGTGCGAAGATGTTAAAGCGGGCTCTACCACTGTTAAAATGATGATGAAAACATCGTTAAAAATCATTTCTAGTTCATTATTAAAAAAGGGAAGATCAGCTAAAGAAACTACAGCATTGCCGGCCGTTTACATTTATGTAATTAGCTGTATTTCAGAGTTAAGTATATTTCATTCCAACCTTATTGAAGGATTTAATACTCTACATTACCATTTTATTTAATACTTATGCGTTGAATAATATTGCAGTAAGGACGTCGAAACGGAAATTTTCTCATCTTTTAATGAGACAGATTTCATTTTGTGTCATGATTTATTATACAACTAATGTGTAGAATTTAAAAGGCTTATTTTGATAAGTATATGTATATTTTATTTTCAAAACATATTATTATACAAAACAAATTTTAATCTTAACATAACATGGCAGTTGTCACTTAATTTAATGAGCAAATTAACAGACAAGAAGAAAATCAAAGTATGAACATAAAAGATCTCACAAAAATAAGTATAAGAAAAGATTAAGAATGTGAAACAGAATTTAGGTATCTCTCATTACTTTACATTTTCAAAACATACATTTACACAAATTATCAAATTTTTAACCGTGAGCCAAAGGAAGTCCATGACCCAAAGCACCCAAACCCCATGGCGCAAGAGGTGCGCCCCAACCGAGATGTCCAGCAGCGGGTAGAGCAAGGGGCGCGGGCGCTATCAGACGGGTTGCGGGGATATCGAGGCGCGCGGAGTGAGACCACGCTGCGGCCAGAGGCGCCGCCGCCAGCAGGGGAGCCGAACGCTTCCTCAGCAGATGACCACCGGCGTGTTCCAAAGCTCTAGCGGTCAGGTGAGCGGAGCGGTCCAAGTTTACGCTGAGAGTGTCCAAAGGCCTGCCATCAGTAGCCAGGATGTTGGCAGGCTGACCTGGGGCCAGGGAGATAGGTCCACGGTAGTTGTATGCACGGAGTCCTGCGGGTGCGATGGGGACGGGAGCAGCGACGGGTGCGGCGAGGGCGCCATGTGCGGCGCCAAGCAGGGGAGCGGCCAGCCCTAAGCCCCAGCCGGGGCCCCAAGTGCCCCACGGAGCGAGGCCGGAGGGATTGGCGGCCACCAGGGCGAGCACGGAAGACAACACCACCAGCTTGAACATTGTGGTCTGTGTTGTTTGTTATCAGTTAAGTGAACAACTGTGACATGGTCCCGACAAATCATAGCTTATATACCGGTCTATTTGGTAGGCGTTATCCTAAGTAAAAATGACGTCAGAAATAATACAGCAGGGCGTTGGCTACTAATCAATCTTAGAAAAGAAACCCTCGAACAACCAAGCACTTGAATACTTTGACACTCGATCGGTATCAATTTTAACTCTAATTATACGGGATTAAAAGCGACAACAAAGTTCATAGCAGTATTGTTTCCCCGTTTACCTTGGATACCTTGATAAAGGGACATTCACTTCAGTGATATCGAGATGAATTAGTGTTTATCCTACCGCATTGTAGAATTTCTTTAGGAATGTACCAAATAGACAATTAATTATGGAGGCTTTAGTATAACAGGAAAAGTTAAAGAATCGCTACATTTGCGTTATATATTTGAAATGTTGAGTTTAATTTACAAGTGAAATGGTATTTTTTGCATAATATGTACAATTCATGTAAATTAAGTAACAAAGTATGCATACTTGTACGAATTTTTCGCAATGTCATGTGTTAGAAAAAAAAATTATATCACACATTTCCGACCCACATCTGCTATTCTTAGTATGTAAGGTAATTAAAGTGTTATCTTCTTTGTGGCTATTGTAGACAGTGGTTTCTAAGTATAAAAATCTCTCAAGTTAACAAGCTAACCTTGTGAAGAAAGTATTATATACTGTGGTAAAAATAGTCACGCCTGAGGGTGTTTCTAACGAGGAAGTAAGAGTTGTAAAGTCGCCACTTTAATTCTAAAAACAAACTTCTTTATGGTTGTGTCGATTTTTTTATGTTAATTTTTACATTTTATATTCTGTGCTTTAGCATCGCAGAATTAGTTTTCATATTATGTTACAAATATTTTAAATTAAACAATTAAAAAGTCCCGTTAAAAATCGGTCCAACAGTTTCGATTATCAGGAACAAAAGAAGCCTTGCGGACAGACAAACAGACAAAAATATAAAAAAATGATTTTAGAGTATCACCTTTTATGTAGTTATTCGTCTTCGTATAAATTGTTAGGATAGAAATTAATTTTGTAAATGATTTAATGGTTAAAATTTGAAAATAACCTGAAGAAAATTTAATTTCCTCGAATACAAAACCATTTTACCCCTAATTTGTAACATTGAGACTGGCATCTGGATTTTCGTGTCGCGTTTATTAAAAATTTTCTTAAAAAAATTCAAGACGAGTTCAACAGATGCTTGCTCGGTCAATGAACTCTTTCCCCTTCATAATTAAGCATTCTCATTATCCTAAGTAGGTACTTAACCCTTAATAATAATTTATCTCAATTAATAGTTTTTCATATTTTTTAATCATTAGTAATTTTCATAACGTCTTCTTCAGATTACGAACTTAACTTAAAATATTTCTAGTCTAAGTCGTCGACAGAGGGACAGACAAACATTTAAGAATTAATAAATTGTTAGAAGTGTTTTAAATTGTTTTTAAAAAAACTGTCAATAACTGGACAGTTTTTTTTAAAACGTACCTAATTTTAACCTACTTTAATATTTAAGTAATGAAAAATAAGTTACATTTTAATTTGCACATTTGAAATTGTCATAAAGGTCAAATTGTTAGTAAATCGCATTTTCATAATTCTCAATTTGCTATCATTTCATTAACATAATTAGTCAGATTATAAACTGACGATAGACATAGTATTACAGTGATGTACATATATAATGTTATAATATACCATGCACTTGAAAAGCGTACTTTATATTGACAAACATATCTACAACACTTGTTTCACCAAACCAGTTGCTAGCGACTAACGGTTTAGTTCGCGGCTTTGGTTACTTTTATTAAAAAAGTGCGTAGCAAAATTAATATCAAATTAATTCATACAACATAAAATTTATTACGTAACACATTTTCTATTTAATACGATACCTTAAGAAGGAATCCAGTTTTATTAAACCTTACTAGTCATGTTACTAATATTATAAATGCGAATGTTTAGATGGATGGATGTTTGTTTGAAGGTATCTCCGGAACGGCAGCACGGATCTCAATGAAATGTGGCATACTTATAGAACATAGTCTGAAAGAACACATAGGCACCATTATGTATTTTTTCCTATTTCGCGCGAACGAAGTCGCGGGCGACCGCTAGTCAACAAATAAATAAAACCTGTGCAAGATTTGAGGCATTATAAACAAAGTTATACAAACAAACGCACTAACTAAACAGTTATTCGATTTGTTAGTCACATGTGTAAATGAATGAAGGCG